CCACATTGGTTCTAATAGTATATCAGAAACATCTTGTGTGATATAGGCAAACCTCATATTCTGGTAACAGTCTGAAAAAAAAATAATCTATCTAGTAGGTACAAAACAGCATAAATACCCATTAAGTATTAAAAGTAAAAAAAATATTTTGGTGCCCACTAACTTTGAATAGTGGAGCAATACTGCCCTCTAGTGGTGAAAAAAGAACTTAATTTAGAAAAGGCTAGAAAGTGGTAACCAATATTGCAGAGAAATACATATTTTGAAATTTTGGGTTCTCTTTGTGCCATGACAAGATACTTTATAATAATTTTTATTAGGATGTATCATGAGAAATTATATATCGGGGAAAATAAAATCTGGCATTTCTCTTCAAAGTTATCCATAATGTTCAAGAAAGTAAGAATCCTGAAACCCTTTGACTAACCTTCCCTGACTATTATATGTGTAAGACTTAGTAGTATTTGTAGTGATATAAACAACTCAAATATTTTCTTGTCATCTAAAAAAGAAACATGATGAAGCTTAACGAGTATAATTGGAAACTTCTGAATTTATATTTTTGAGATTTTTGTTGTTTAGTCAACTGAACAAATGCAGAATGGTGACAAACTTCCTAGCTATACACAGAGTGGTTTTTGTTTGTTTGTTTGTTTTAGTCTTAATCTTCCAAAACTCAATATGAAGCAGTAGAGAGCTGTAACCTCCAAAAAGACTGTAATGATAAAATATTCATACACACCAACGAAGCAATAAATCCACGGAGCTTTGTATTGTCATAACCAGTATAATTTAATCAATCAGCTTGAGGAACAAATACCGGTGCATCTCTTATTTTTTTGTAATTAAGTTGGATCAGAACCCCAATACTTTTGATTAGCTGGAGGCATTCTGCCTCTCCAAGGACCTCGCTTTTTACCCCCACTTACTCAAGAACCCATGGACATTGTCCAGAGTAGCTGAACATATTTCTTAAATGCCTTTTGGAAAGCAATCTGAAAATCTGAATCACGTACCACCACACCAAATTTTCAGCTACCATATCTGCTGCCACATTCTGAAAACTGATCTTGATATGTTCTTTTCACTATTCCTTTCAGTCCCTATTCACATACAGGGCACAGTGGTCCCTACCCCTAGACTTTCCAAGTGATAGCTTTTTAGTTGGAAAACTATAATAAATGTTCTGTGAGTTTTTCTCAAGCACTCATTGTGCCCTGTTGTAAGATCTAAGGCAATCCCAGTTCCAAATATAGCCACAAAGCTCATTCAGAACCAGATTTCCCCTAAGACCATCTTATACAAGCCAGACTCCCCAGTCTAAACTCATCCACCCTTCATCAGTAAGAGCTACCTCTAACCATATAAGAAGTACTTATTCATGAGGTACTCTAACAGAGGAGTGGAAGATTTATAAGTTATCTTTCAATAGCCACCTGATCTCCAAAGGATTACTTACTTATTCAAGCAACATTTGATCTCTACATAATAAAAGGTATTGAAAGAATTGAGCCTTCATCGAGACATTTTGCCTGGCTGATGTGACTCAGTGGTTAAGTGTCAACCTACGAACCAGGAGATCATGGTTTTATTCCTGGTCAAGGCACATGCCCAGGTTATGAGCTCAATCCCAAGTGTAGTACATGCAGGAGGCAACCAATTGATGGTTCTTTCTCATCATTGATGTTTCTATCTCTCTCTCCCTCCCTATCCCTTCCTCTCTAAAATCAATTTTAAAAATATATTTTTTAAAAGACATTTTAAAAGTTATGTTATCAATACCCTAAGAGCAGTGGGTGGCTACTCACTCTGTATTTATTTATTATACTTACGAAGAGCCACAATCTTCCCAGAACCAAGCTCTGCTCTAGTGACTTGCTTAGCTGGCCCCCACAATTGTGTAAGCCAGTTCCTTCCAATAAATTCCACAAGCAATGGGCTGATGGACTAGAGCTAGCCTGATGCTCTGCCAGAGTTAGCGCCACCATGGAATGGAAACTCTGACACTGGTTCTGCTTTTAGTTCTATTGAACCCCCAGCTGCTTATTTTCCAAGACTGGTTTAAAGACAATGAGACTTTGCCAGCAGAGGGATAGAATTCCATGCAAATAAAGCTTTCTACTACATCTCATCCTCCCATGGGGGCCTCCAGAAATTCTTATTTCAGCGGTACCCCAAGAAACCCAGTCCCACTAGCAACAGAATTTCACCCACCCAACCCTCCAGCAACACATGGGTAGGAAGAAGTAATATCTGCCCCCTTTCTGTAAGGAGCTCAAACAGTAAGACCTACACTGAAAAGGTAATTACAGTGCAACATACTGTGTACAATGGTAAAAGTGTGTACCATGTGTTACGGAAGAGCAATAGATAAATTTAAGCCAGTCTTGCCCTAGCCAGTTTAGCTCAGTGGATAGAGCATCGGCCTACGGATTGAAGCATCCAAAGGGTTCCATTCTGGTTAAGGGCACATGCCTGGGTTGCAGGCTCGATCCCCAGTAGGGGGCGTGCAGGAGGCAGCTGATCAGTGATTCTCATCATTGATGTTTCTATATATCTCTCTCCTTCTCCCTTCCTCTCGGAAATCAATATATACAGTAGGTCCTCAGGTTACATCAGAGATCCGATTTCCGCCATAAGTCGGAACCCACCTACATAAGCATCTACATCACTCACATGAAGCACCAACACAGCAGTAATGAAGTGAAACAATAAAATAAAAAAATTAAAAAGATAACAAATCCTGACCTTTATTTGTGGTAAATAATAAAAAACATAATGCATATATGTACATACGTCGAAATGACGTAACCTTTTTTTATATATAAATAAGAGGGAGATAGCAATGTAACCACAAAACGACATAGGTCGAGTCTGACTTAACCCGAGGACTATTTTTTTTAAAAACTTAGGACAGTCTTGGGGGACAGGAATCAGAATGGTAGAGATCAAGGAGCTGCAGAGGGAACCATGCCCAGAACTAGAGTAGCATAACTAGCTAAAAAATAAAAATCTCATCCTAACATCCAAAATGTTCTGCTGAATCCTTGAGTAAAACTTACCTTAGCTCCCTTTCACCTCTCTACTTTCTCCTTCTCATGCCCTCCCAGTTACACCGAGCTCCCAACTGAAGGACTTCCCAGGGCCATCAATTTCCCAAGGGGACCCAGTCAAACTGTCTTTTCATCTCCAAGTCTTGGATTTTGAGGGTAATACCTCAGAATCTTTTCCATAAATAACAAGGAATTATAAACATATAGGGGACGGGGGTGAGGAGAGGATCTTAAATTAAGCCCTACACGCTCAGCTTCTTTCCTTATCTTCCCTCAAGGTAGACTCTGAAAGAGCATCAAAGAACACCCTAGGTTCCTGAGAGGAGTCCAAGCCACCAGTTTAGTTAGCTCTGTATTCACTCATTATTTTCCTATGATCCCAGTGATTTACAATAACATATTCAAAAATAGAAATCTGAGCAGAGTGTTTTAAGAACAGCAAATTTAATGTGCAGATCACTATTATCAGCCCAATTTATAACAGTTCTAAATTAAAATTTTTCACTTTGCTCTCCAAATAAAACCTATTCGATGCAAGATTATCTAGCAAAAAAATATAAAGAATAAGCAAATGGGGTGGGGGGGTAATAAACTGGATTTTCTTTTATTGCACATCTTTCTATTAAAAAAAAATAGGATAAGGATTTATTGCAATAAACCTGAGGAAAAATTGTTTCCTCTGTAACATAAATAAAAATTTCTACCAAGTTTTACTGATGAAAAAAGGATAGCTCTATTCACAGTACTCTTCCAACTACTCCCTAAATCACATTTTAAAGTCTAAATAAGGGTTTGTTTCTAAATGGTTCCTAAAAAGTACAAATGAAACTTTAAGGTTACAGCTTAACTAAGACAGACTGTGCAACCTTTGGAAGTTGGGAGATTTAATTCTCTTTTTTTCTTCTTCTTCTTCTTCTTCTTCTTCTTCTTCTTCTTCTTCTTCTTCTTCTTCTTCTTCTTTTTTAAGCAATTTTTAGCAGAGGCTTCCTTCCACACAATTTCCAAATTACTTGTTTGAGAACATTTACCAAAATACTGGTAATTAAGGCTAGATTTCCATGGGAAATTACTGTTTAGAGGGTTAGAATGTCTGCATGAACCAATTTTGGGGAAAATGGTAAAAAGGTAACATCAGTTTGTGTGTAAAGCAGGTAAAAAGAGTAAGAATAAAAACCCTTGTTTTTGTTTTTGTCACTTTAATGTAAGACTGAAACTGCTACAACAATATTTGAGGTTCCACACAGAAATGCATGCTCAGTTATTAAAGACTTTGGTTGAAGCATTTGGACTTTACTTCTTGAGAAATGAATAAGGAGATTTTAAGAATTTTTATCAGCACACAATCAGTCACAACAAACTTCTAGATACTTATTTTTTTCCTACCTTTTCCTAACAAAGGTAATTCTCAACAGAACCCCACCACCATAGGAAGGATTCAAAGCTCCTGAACTCAAAGTGATCAATTCCCACAAATTAGTATAATAGTTTGAATCCCACAAGTTTTTCAAAGCTTGGTTTAAATATATGAAAACAGCAAACACCAAATATATTACCGTTTCTATGAGGTTATGAATCATGAACAAAAACCAGATTGAAATTTTATATACTCAGTGTCTGTTGGTAAAAAGCCTTCATTCTTAATGCTTCTCGTGGCATCAGTTTTTAGAAATTAAACAATACACTTTCAGCATTCTACAGTAATCATCACTTTCAAAAACTATAACATCTGCATGTTACACTAATAGAATTTTCTACATAAATATTTTGTCACATTATCAACTCTTAGTTTCACTAAATGATAAAATACAAAAAGCTACACAAGACAAAACACCACAGAATGTTTTAACATTTCCCCTTCCCAGTTGTTAGCTGGTAGCACTTTTTAAGAGAAAGTGATGAAAAATCAGAAATTTTGCATCCAGTGTTTGACTTCAACTTTTTGCTTTCTTATCGTCTTTTGGTACCGCCATATCCTAAATGAGAAGAGTAAAATTTATATTATTTTTTAAATGCACTAGAATCGCTTATAAAATTACAACATAATACATAATACATTTTATTGCTAGCAAGTGAATAGAAGAAACATGCAGGAAGGAATGTGAGCCCTGATGGAAGAGGGCTATGCACGATCAAGTGCAACTTCTCCCCAAAACAGCCCTCCCACCATCCTTTCATCACCAAGTCCTCTCAAGTTGCTTGCAGCGAATAACCTTTAGTCCAGAAAGCCAAAGATATAGTTTATGTTGGGGCCAATGTGGTTCAGGCAATACTCAAAGTCTAAGACAAAAAGCAGCGAAGCCAATGGAGCCCAAGCCATGTTCTACCACCTCTCACAACTGCAGGGATACATAGAAATAATGTGGGGAGAGTTTCGGACTTTCCAAATCTGTTACCACGTGCTAACAGATTACAAAATGACAGTGTTCCTACCTGAAACGTCTCTTGATTTTTTTTCAGGTTTTCTTTAAGTTATTTGGTAATGTTTTATGATTTTCTCCATGTAAGTCCCTTACATTTCTAATTGATACTTAATGGTTTTTATAATTTTTGTTCCCACTGAGAATGAGTTTTCTTTTGTTATGCCCCAATTACTACCTTAGTATCTAACTTCACAGGTTAGTTTTGCTTGTTTTTAAACATGTATATTTATAAATATGAATGTTATAATCCTACCATATATATTCTTTTGTGCCTAGTTTCTTTCTTTCTATTTGGCAAACCTACCCACATTATTGGATACAACTATGTATTCATACTTTCTGTTGCACAGTAGTCCATAGTATGAATAATTTAATTTATTTGCCATTTTATTGCTGATGGGTAGTACAGAAAGAGGCTATTATGAATAGGGATGCTATGAACATTCCTGTACTTATCTATTGGTATACAAGCATATGCATTTCTGTTACTATAAATCTGAGAGTGAAAAGAATTTTTATCAGCACATTAGTTATATTAGTTCAATTAGATAATGCCAGTTTTTCAAAGTAATTGTATTAATTTATATTCACAGCAGCATTAGAATTCCACTCTTACATTTCAAATCATATTTAAATATATTCTGCCAATTTTAAAAATGAATCGTTGTTCTATAACTTCCCCCTGCTGAAGAAGACACTCGATACACAGCATTCCATTATTGCCTCATTACCTATCACTTCCCATTCTCTGCTAATTAGCTGGATGTTTAACTCTAAATAGTTGTTTTTAAGAATCTTTGCTTTTGGCAAAATGTCCTCTTAGCAACTGTAACATTATAATCAAAATCTTGACAATTACTTAAAATATGGCTCAATTTTTATTGAGTTTTACTGAACTTTAAAAGTTCAAGTTTCTACTTTTCCCTAGATATCACAGAACTAAGCAAATATGGAAACCAATGTCCAGAAGGTTTCAGTTAAAACCGTGGTTAGTGGCAGAAGTTTAAATCAAATCTTGGTTTGATTTTTAAAGACATTTAGAAGTGCATGAAAAGAATGAATTTGAATTCTATTTTAATTTCAGTTAATTGTGCTATTAATATTTCTCGTGTTTATACCAAATAAAACCATGATTGCTAAATATATATATAGTTAATCATCTTCTGAACTTCTAAATTTTTGCTCTTACCTGATGCTGTTCTGGTTTTTGTCTCTGAACTTGAACATGCTGAGTAGTTACGGGAGTCTCCACAATGCGGGGAGTAAGCACGGCTGTTTCCTGTGCTGAAGTATGAGGGATAAGATGGGTGGTGCCATGAGTCTGAAAAGGGTGTTGCTCCCCTATCAAAACATAAAAGTGTATCAAGTATTTTTCTTGTGCCTTTAATTTTTAAATGCCTTCCTATTCCTACACTATCAAATAAAAATCTTTATTGTTTTTCTTCAATATTCTGGTACATTAGGATTAACATGAATTAAATACTGTTTTATATTCTGATATTGTTATGGTCATTGCCATGGGGGAAGAAAATGAAAGGGAGAAACAGCTTTCTTTTTGAATTCAAACTTAAATAAAATCTAAACTTAAACTACCAATAATATTGAAGACATTCCAAAATCTGGCCCTAAGTTTCTTCTAACCTTACTTCTATCATTCTCCTACCAAACCAGAATTGTTAACAATTTTATCAGATGTCAAGTAAAATATTTTTCCTATCTCATGTTATCTTTAAGAATGAGATAGGAGCCCTAACCGGTTTGGCTCAGTGAATAGAGCATTGTCCTGGGGACAGACGGGTCCCAGGTTCAATTCCAATCAAGGGCATCTACCTTGGTTGTGGGCACATCCCCATTGGGGAATGTGCAGGAGGTAACTGATCGATGTTTCTAACTCTCTATCCCTCTCCCCTCCTCTCTGTAAAAAGTCAATAAAATAAAATAAAAATAAATTATATATATATATATATATATATATATATATACACACACACACACACACACACACACACACACACACACATATATATATATATATATTTTTTTTTTTTTTAAAGAATGACTTAGGAAGAAAATACAAGAAAATAACATACACAATACTGATCACAGCACATATAGTATACCTTTCCCCATTGCCAAAGAACTTGGTTTAATAAGGGTAATTCATCATAATTTATTTTCCTTATCAAATCCAGTCAAACTATAAGCAAAATAAAGAACTCTCTACAGAAAATTTGAATTAAAGACCAAGAGAGATAAATGCAAAGCATACCTATTGTTGCCAAACAAATATCCTAGTATTCCTCCAGTTCCCAAGCCAGTCCAGAAACCTGGTCCCGAATTTGCATTTCCTTGTTGCCCTGTGAAAGCACTGCTAAAACCGTAAGTTGGACCAGGCATTCCTAGAAATAAAAATTATTTATTAAGTATCCTTATTTAAACAAAACATAGCCTATAGAACCAAAGATAATGGGATATTTCAATTACTTCATCTGTACTATTTTTTTTTTATTGTTGGCACTATTACAGATGTCCCCCATGCCCCACTCCACTCAGCCTCCACCCCCTCCCCCAGCCCTTCGCCACATTTAGTCTGTAGCACTATTTTTTACCAGTACTCAGGCCTCAACCTATAAACAAGTTGCATTTAAAAAATATTTTAGCCGAAACCGGTTTGGCTCAGTGGTAGAGCATCGATCTGCAGACTGAAAGGTCCCAGGTTCGATTCCGGTCAGGGGCATGTATGTTGGTTGCGGGCACATCCCCGGTAGGGGGTGTGCAAGAGGCAGCTGGTCGATGTTTCTCTCTCATCAACGTTTCTAGCTCTCTATCCCTCTCCCTTTCTCTCTGTAAAAAATCAATAAAAATATATATATTTAAAAAGTGTTTTAGTAAAATATAGGTTCATAACTATTTTAGGATGAGGTGTTTTCCTATAAGGTCACATTTGTCCTGCTTAAGATGAGCTACTAGAAGATGACTCCCACTTATCAGTTACTTCCCTTCTGCATCGTGAACATTTCTAAAAGCTCCAGGTAACAGCTATGCTTGAGTGTCTAATGGAGGAACCCAGTGGAGACAGCCAGATATTTGTATCAGTTGAGAAGTCGGGTCTTAAAGGAACCAAAAAGGTATCTTCTGCTCAGAGGAACTTTTTTTAAATCAATGTATAATATACATAAAGTATGCAAGTCAAATGTGTGAAATGTAATAAATTTATACATATGTACTTACACATGTAACTGCTACTCACATCAATAAAACATTTCTAGCACGCAGAAGGTTTCCTCCTCATGACCATTCTCAATAGATACCCACCCACATCTCTGACTTTTTTCACCAAACTTTAGTTTTAGCCATACGTTCACTCTTTATAAATGGAATCATATGGTAGGTACCTGTTTGTGTCTGGTAAATCACGTCAATGAGAGTCAATCTTACTATTGTATATATTAGGTTTTGGACTTTAAAAAAATAATGTGTGGTATTCCATTATGTTAAAAGAAAGCACAATTTGTCTCATTCTAATGTTTCTGGACATCTCATTTATAGTTTTCAGTTACCATGCATAAAACTGCTATGAACATTCTTGTGCATGTTATTTTGTGTATGTATACATGCATTTCTCTTAGGTAAGTATCAAGGAATGGAATTGCTGGGTCATAGAGAAGGTGTACATTTAGGAGATAGTGAGTTTTCCAATGAGTTTTATCATTCTAACTCCTACCAGCAAGTACTAGCTGACTACCCTCAGTTGATTACTTAGTTAGCTATTACTAGTATAGTGGTTAATAATGAATTTACTATGCTTTTAATCTGCATTTTTCAGATTAATAATGCTAAACACCTTTTCATTTTTTATTGGATATCTAGATATCCTCTTTATTATAACATATCTGTTCAAATCCTGTCCATTGTTAAAAGTGAATTTCTTAGATTTGTAGTTCCTTATATATTCTAGATATGTACCCTTTGTTAGATATGTCTTATATTTTCTCCAAGTATGTAGCTTGCCTTTTCACTCTTAATTTAAATAGTCTAATTTATACATCTTTTCTTTCATGGATAGTATTTTTTGGTGTTCTAAGATACTTTTGCCTATCCCAAAATCATGACAAATGTTATCCTACAAAAAACAATATATATGCATATTTTTTCCTACATTTTTATCTAAAAACTTAATTTTTTACCTTTTATGTTGAGCTTTATAATACCTGAATAAATTTTTATGTATGGTGTGGGACAAGAGTTCTAGGTAAATGTTTAAAGCCCTAGCAGGTTTGGCTCAGTAGATAGAGCATCAGCCTGCGGACTGAAGGGTCCCGGGTTCTATTCCAGTCAAGGGTGCGTACCTCAGTTGCAGACTCCTCTCTGGCACGTGCAGGAGGCAACTAATCAATGTTTCTTTCACATCAATATTTCTCTCTGTCTTTCCACCTCTCTTCTACTGTCTCTAAAAATCAATAGAACATCACCCTCAAATGAAATTTTTTTTTTAAATTTTAAAAAGGTAAATGCTTTTTACCAAATCTGATCAAATTTTTCTGATTAAGATGATTTATAATTTAATCATGAATCCTTAAAATGGTGATCACAAATATCATTATAGAGAAGGAAAAAAAAGATAAAAGAAGTTGAACGTAAAAAATAAAATGCAAAGACAAATCTGCTTGGTTTCCCTGTGGCAACCATTTTCCATTTCAGAAACTGCACAGGATTCATAGCTCACACCTACCCTCTTAGTGCTCTTGCCTCAGCAAACATACCTGTGAACCCTGTCTTAAAGCCTGGGGGAGGGGGTCCTGCTGAGTTGGTGAATCCCTGAAAACCGGGAGCAAACGGAGGATTCTCAGAGTATGGTGGAGGAGAATCTTGACCACCACCAAGGAACAACTTATAAACTCCAAAGGCAATAGCAAGTAACACCACGATGGTAACCAATCCACTGATGCCACTGGAACTGCTTTTATAATAATCAGAGAACTGGTTAAAGCCACTGTTTTTTCCAGACTCTCTCAATTTCTTCAGGCCAAGTTCCGTGTAATCTAAGTTATACTCCAAGCCACAGGAGCCTCTTAGTACATACTGGTCTTCAGAGGATTCATAGCCTTCACAGCTCACCACAGTTTTTCCAAATTTGTATGCAACATCTAAATCAGTCTTACATTCCCACTGTGAAGAAAAGCAGAAATAAGTTATTAGAACCAAAAGATTTTTTTTCACTTAATATATTATCATTTGGGTTATCTAACTGCCATAAAACTGCAAAATGAAGCAAAGAAATGATAAAGTTCTGGACAATAAATATTTCTGTGTTGGGAGGAGAGCAAGCTAGAGGCCTTGAAGATACTGGTGATGTTAATATTTTACCTCTTAAGTTTGGTGGTGGGTACCTAAGTGTTCATTTGATTATTATTCCTTCATCTTTACATTTAGATGTAAGGAATTATTTTGTACATATTAAGGATTCCCTAATTTACAAACTTTAAGCAAATTTTCTAAATTTGAACTTTTTACCACTATTGTTCAAGATGCTTTTAAAATAGGTTTTAAATGATGAGGCTCAAAAATCAGCATCATATATGAAGCTATGGTAACTACATACAGTATTAGAGATAGTATACAACCTTCTGAGAAAACTTTTGACACAAATTTTTTTAAAACCATGCACTAATGTTCCAGGGTCCAATCCTAAGTAATTCTCTTACATTTTTTTTTTAAAGATATCTCAAAAAAAATGCACAAAGAATCCACACTAGTCTCAAAATTTTCCACCTTAAAAAATAGCGTAAGTTAAATTCCAAACTATATTTTGAGCTAAATAAGTAACATGCCTCTTTTTAACATTTAAAGAGACACAAGCTAAAATAGATTTGATTGGTTCTATTACCTATCTGTAAGTTTTCTGTAAGAGAAAGACAAATGATCTCTCAAACTTCAGGTACACTCTTTTATTTTTTTATAATAGCTTTATTGAGATGTTAGAGGCCCAGAGCACGGATTCATGCACATTGAAAGTAAATTAATTAGAAGGTGGCTGGCAAGGCAGAAGTGGGCGAGAGACAGTCCAGATATGCCCTGGAACCAACCTCCCATTGTCTCTCCCCAGCTAGCTGCACCAGGGGCAGCGCCAGGGCTCGAAGGGCGTCTGCAGAGTAAGCAGAGTCCCTCCAGCAGGTAGGGTCCCTCAGCCTGGCCTGCGGGGATTGGGCTCCCTCCTCTCTGGTTCCAGGGTGCATCACATGAGAATCACTGCTGCCAAGTCACTGCAGCTCTGCAGCTCCTGCATTGAGGGTCTGAGCATTTGACCCCTGGTGGTCAGTGTGCATCATACTACCAGCCTGACCGCTCCAGGGCGGCCAGGAGCAAAGCCAGGGTAGAAGGCCTATTCTTGCACGAATATCGTGCAACAGGCCTCTAGTTCTAAATATAAGTCCTCTATCAGGTATTGCAAAAGCTTTCTCCCATTGTATAGGTTGTCTTTTCACTTTCTTAATGGTGTCCTTCGAAGACCAAAAGTTTTTCATTTGAATAATGCAATTTTTCTATTTTGGTGTCTTTGTTGATGCTACATTTTTTTAAAATAATTTTAATTGGAGGAAGATTTATAAGCTTGCTAATTCAGGTAAATAAAATAAGCAAAATCTCTTGGTATTTCATGCTAATTGTCACTTTCTTACTAGTGTATATTAAAAATGGCTCTAATTATATTTACACTTTTGGAACTGAATATGAACTCTCTCTGAACTGCACAGACCACTGGGTTTTTATGTGGGGGTTTCTTCCCAATATATTTTCATTGATTTCAGAAAGGAAGGAAGAGGGAGAGAGAGATAGAAACATCAATGATGGACAGAATCACTGATCAGCCACGTCCGGCATGCCCCACATTGGGGATCAAGTCCAAAAACCAGGCAACATACCCCGAATGGGAATTGAACTGTGTCGACCCCCCCCCCCAATTCACATACTATAAATAATTATCATGCTGATGGAAGTGGCAATTGTCAACACAAGTTTCTTGCAAATAACCAACTATCTTAAATTCTTTTGAAAGCAGGCAGAATACAAAGTAAAAATATATTAGTACTGATTTAAAATTAATTCATTCAATAAATTTCTAAAAAATAAATGTTGGAACTTCAAAAAGATGGTCCAACCTAAGTACAAAATGCCAGAGTCCCAAAGACAACAAATAAAGTCCACAGAAATGCTTTTGTTCAAGAGCAGCCACCCTCAGCTCTAAAGCAACTTTAGAATCAAGTGTATGAAGCACAAAAATTTACAACCTACAATTCCTTATCACCTTAACTTTACTTCTTAAGGGCAGGTTGGTATTCCTTAAGAAATGACAAAAATGACACCCAGGAGAAATCCTCTACACCCCTCAAGTATGTGAAAAGCTTTGAAAATTTACTAACATCTTAGAGAAAATTATGGGACAATTACAATATTTCCAGGCTTTAAAATCAGTTCATTTCTTTTGGAGCATGTTTCTTCCAGAGAATAAATGACTGATTTATGTCTTTATATTTTAGGTTAAACTAGGATTTTCTATATATGCTTCCCCAAAATATTGAATAATGTCCTAATAAACACTTTATTAAATAAAAATCCCATTTAGACAGACATCAATGTAATGAATATTACCTGTACATCGTAACCATCCCAGCCTTTGTTCTGGCACTGTATAACTTTTGGGATGTAAGTATCACATCCAGCTGTGCCTCCAACACATTTCAGCTGTGGAACTGGATCCAGCCTACGGGAGGTGGTATAGCGATCATAGTGGAGGGTAAGAGCTTGTATATCCCGCAACAATATTCTGTCTGAAATCATAAGAACACAGATAATCATATAGTAAATATCTTGCCAAACTTAGAAAATTAATCAAATAAAACCCTTTGAATGTTTTCATTAAATATTAAATATTTTGAAAAGTAAGGCTCTTTCTCGCCTTTTGAGGATGACTAAGAAAGAGATGAAACATTCTCCCAAAGCCATACCAACAACTTTCAGGCTTCTTGCACAAAATTCAGGTGGTCACACCTTTAAGGCCCCCTTCATCATTATGGGATGGATACAGAAATAGAGGGCATAGGTACAAAAACATAAAAGCGATTCCAAATAACTGCATGACTCTGAATGCTGAAAGCATGAACCTCTTTCCCCACCTGGTTCACAAAACACTAGCAACCATTCCCTTTGTAACCTAACCAAAAAAGAAATATTTAAATATACCAACACCAGGAATTCCCAAACGAAGAACTACCCAAGCATACCTAAAGTCACTAAGTCACCCCCCAATAAAGTTCAAAAGCAGTAATCATACACTAATAGCTTCCAATCAGCTTTTTGGTTCCCACTCTTGATTTAGAGCAGATAGACAGGAATTGCTAAAAATTATGAGGAAAGCCCCTAACATAGAATACAACCAACACAAAAACACTTTGGAGGAACGAGAGACTATACTGAGAGAAGAAAACTTTTTAAAAATGTTTTAAAGCTATGATATCCTCAAAGTTACTAAAAAAAAAAAAAAAAAAAAAAATCAGGACAACTGCAATAAAAAACTCAATAGTAACTATTAAAAGTTAAAGATAACAACATTTCCTAGAAAATAGAGCAAAAAGATGGGAAGGGAGGGTGGAGAGAAAATCTGCTTAAGTTAAAAAATATAGGCATTTCCTATCACCAAATCACAAATGCAATATTGGTACACTTCCCACCGGGCCTTAACATCTTGACTCCTTAGAACAAAAATGGAATTTTAAACATTTAAGCGTCATACTTTAATTCCAATTTAACAGCACACATCATTTATTAAGTGGAAATCTGTATGTAAGTGATATACATATATACACCATGTTCATATATTAATTACAATATTATTGACCCCACAAAAATTCATGAGATTGGTCTAATAACAAAATAATATAAAAGAACCTTTTCCCTAAAAATCACTTATCATGTTCCATCACACACACACACAAAAAAATTGTAAGATGAAAGTGCTACTTAAATTCTAGAACATGGTGAAAAACAGTAAGAAGAGCTATCGTAAGGCCATGTGCTTCACTGTAATGGTCACCATAAGAAGCATGAGTTAAGCTCAAATCTATGCCCTGCTAACCTGCCCGCAGGCTTGCTGAAACCCTGTCCCTTCAGTGTGACTCAGACGCGGCCGGTGTCCAGGGAACTGCCAGCCTTAGCAACAGGCAGCCATGACAACGGCCAGCGACACCAGGTAGTCATGACAACAGAGCGAGAAGCGCAGGTGAGCCTGGCGCTTTCCCCGCCAGACACCCGGATGTGGGCCGGGGCCCGAGCACAGTGACGCCGGACAAACTCTAGGCGTCCGGAGAAGGAAGGGAGGGGACGTTCAGAATCCACAGCCGTTGGTTCCGTCCCACCAACTCCAACAGTCCCCGCTCTCCCGTCGGAGGTCTGGGGAGAGAAAAGGCGCCGCGCAGGGCAACGATCAATAAACAGTGAAAGGGGAAGAAAATGAGGAATTAGGGCAGCAAAGCTCAAGGCAAGGCCCGCGGGGCCTCCCAGAGCGGGCTCCCGGCGGCAGGAAGGAAGGGGCGAGCGAAGGGAGACAGCACACTCACTGGGGTCGTTCCAGCCCAGGGCGGGGCCCGCCATCAGAAGCAAGAGGAGGCCGAGCAGAGGACGGCGTCCGTCCGCTCCGGGCCCCCCGGCCGCGGCCATGGCGCTGGGCGAAGGTGGTGCGCGGCCGCCAGGCACTCGCGGACGGGAACCGGGGCTGTGGAAACCCGCGCGCAGGTGCTCAGTGACGCCAGGAACTCCAGCCGCGGAGGAGGGAAGAGGTCCGTCCGCTGAGCCTCAGCCGCTGCGACGGTCCGCGCCGGCCGCACGTCACTGTCGCTGCTGCGCGCGCGCGGGGGAGCCTGGGTGGAAGCATCTGGCCCCGCCCCTCAGTGTGACAGGGCCCCGCCCCTCAGAGCGACAGGGCCCCGTCGTTGGGGGCGGAGCCAAACGGATGATGCAACGCTGTGGGCGGGGCCGATGAGATGGCGTAGGCGCGGTGATGGGAGTGAAACCATCCCAAGACAAAAATCTAGGAAAATCTCAATAACCTTCCCCAGGGACGCATCCAGCATAGCTCCTGGCCCATTATTCGCGTTCTGTTACTGTTTGCTACATTCAGAGAGAATTCGAGCGATAGGTGACATGGAAATAGAGTCTGCTTTTCAGCGGCTCAGAGCCTCTATATATTCCGTTGTGCGTGGTGGCAGTAATTTACAGAAGAGAAACTACTACTACCAAATAAAGAACTGGACAAAGAAAACAGTTCTAAGAGTGCAGAGGCAACATCTTAGAGTTCTGACAGGCCTATGTTTCTCTCACTGAACATATATATATATTGAACGCCTACCATGTGTCGGCTACTGTTTTAGGCATGGAGGATACAGCCAAGGTCCCCGTACTCATGGATCTTATGTTGAAGTGGCAAAGGGACACAAAGCTAGGCAATCCTATATAATAAAAGGCTAATATGCAAATAGACAAAGCAGTGGAACAACTGGTCACTATGATGGCATTTCTGACCAAGGGGGCAGCCACTCAATGCAGGAGCTGTCCCCTGGTGATCGTGCGCTGGCACAGGGGGAGCGCAGCTCAGCCAAAAGCAGGGCTCACAACTGGCAAGTGCAGCTGTGGTGGCGGGCTGAGGGGACCTCCTCAAGTGCACAAATGTTATATTAAAGAATCTAGTACAGCTGAAACTGGTTTGGCTCAGTGGATAGAGCGTCAGCCTGCGAACTGAAGGGTCCCGGGTTTGACCCAGTCGGGGGCATGTGCCTTGGTTGCTGGCACATCCCCAGTAGGGGGTGTGCAGGAGGCAGCTGATCGATGTCTCTCTCTCATCGATGTTTCTAACTCTCTCTCTCTCTCACTTCCTCTCTGTAAAAAATTAATAAAATATATTTTTTAGAAAAGAATCTAGTATAATTGTACTAAAAATCATTTTTCAAATGGGATATATGTATTTTGACTATGTTATTTTTAAGAATTCTTTCAGAAATATTGAATTATTAAAGATAAAAAAATATATATCTGGAATTTCCTTCAAAATAATATGGGCAAAATAATATAGTAGGTGGGGAGAAGTTGATGGGGAGTATACATAAAACATTAATAATGTGTTAACTATTAAAGGTAGGTGATGGAACATGGAAATTCATTATACTATTTAACTACCTTTTATATATTTAAAATTTTTCTCTGAGGTTTCTCTGACTTGATCTGTAAGCATTAGTAATTCCACCCAGCTGGTATGGTTTAGTGGCTGAGCGTTGACCCATGCACCAAGAGGTTGCTGGTTCAGTCCCTGGTCAGGGCCCGTGCCCAAGCTGCAAATTCAATCCCTGGTGTGGACTATGCATAAGTCAGCCAATTGATACTTCTCTGTCATCAATGTTTCTATCTCTCCCTTTCTTTTCCTCTCTCTCTAAAAATCAATACAAATATGTTTAACTTTAAAAAGAGTTAGTAATTCCAAATTAACAAAATTGTAAGGAGAATTAAATCAGATTAAAGCAATAGCGCGCGCTCGCTCTCTCTCTCTCTCTCACCCTCATCCCCATCTTTGTGAATTAACTTTGGAGGGCAGCAAGCCATCTGAAAGAAAAGTTTTGCACCTATGAAAGATTAATATATAATATGTAGAGAACATTTAAAGGATAGAACATTACTGTTTAAGATTCACTTGGCAAACTGATGAAGAAAACTAACATTCTGCCCTTTCAGAAAATTATTTTCAAGCTTTAGTTTGCATAGGAAATCTTTAGGGTGCTTGTTAAAATTTCAGATTCTAGGCTCTGCCCACAAAAATTCTGATTCAGAATGTCTGGAGTGCATTTTTAGGAAGCATCCCAAAGAATTCTGTTATAGGTGGTCTTTGAAATACAACATTTGAACATACTGTTTTAAGGTCTCAAGTAACTCTAGACAACATCTGTAGAGCAAAAATCGTCCTTAGAATCTCTGTGGAACTCATGCAAAAGTCAAAAGAACACAAATTCTTAGGATTCAGTGACTATGGAAGCAAAAGATCCCTCTGACCTAAAAAAAAACAATCCCAGTTGTCCATAACATCATCAAGGACAAATGTCTGTAATGCCTAACCTATCATATTCACAAGAGGAAACTAGAAAACTAGCATTTAACTCTGCCACCAGAGCTTTTGGAAGCTCCAAAAGGCTTCCTAAAATGTGACCTTTCTCCATGAGCCAAACCGTGAGCCTATGAGATGAGAATCTATCACTTTCCAATGCACCACCACTGATCAGCTGTGTCTCTGCTATGTTCTCTCAGACATTCCTGCTTTCAAGGATGGAATACTGTGGAACAAAACAAAAGGTGTTAGTGGCTGAGTATTTAGGATGGAATCATTTACTTCTCCAGGAATTCTACCTTCCCCTTTCAAGATGGTTGGTGAGCATATGTCAGCTTCAGTTTAGAAAACAAAGCTAGTGGTTTCACAAATTGTCTCAAAAGTAACATTTCCACAACGTATGTTTCGTGTGCCTTGTGGTTTTGCTACCACCATCCTTAAATGGAAACTTTTTTATGGTAAGACGACAGAACTTTTTGTGCTAACTTGAACGGAAAAAAATTCTTCTCCTTTAGGCTTATTTGGGGCATCAAGCCTCAAGAAGAGACCTGTTTTAAATTTTGTATTTTTGAAAGTATTCAACCCTGAAAGCAGTGGAGGGAAGCAGGGTACCTTTAGTCCCCAGTAGCTCATTTTAAAGCATGTTGGAAATATTCTAACCATACATTCACAAGATCTTCTATGCCAGTTTATCTTGATCTGATGTCTTAAAAGATTTAAATTCAAATCTTGCATAGGTCACCCACCTCCACTTATATCTTTTTAAAAACCTTCAAAAGGTTCTCACAGCCAGGAGGAGGGGGCGGGGCCTCCTTCTACAGGACCTTGCTGTAGAACCAGACTGCCCACCCCAAACCCCAGCAATCCCACTGATCTTTCTCTTCTCCAAGCTCGCAGTTTGCTGGCCAAGCTCATCACCTCCACCCCCTCCACGAACACAATCCCCTCCGAATGAGTGCTTTTCCCTCTTGTCTAGTTACACAGGCTCATTCCTCCGTTGTTCCTTCCTCTGGGAAATCTATTGACTGATCGAAATCGAAGGCTTTCCTAGACTATTGACCCATCTTCCTAGCAAGTATTATTGTCGAAATTCCACGCCTTTTTTTTTTTTTAATCTTACTCTCTCTTTAAGCTCCTGGAGGGCAGACGTACCTAGTTTTGCTGACCTCAATCCCTGTTCCCAACATAGTAAATGTTCAATAAATTTCTACCATGACTTAAATAAATGCATTTGTACCTCTGCTGCTTTCTTTTTTCTAGTCCCGTTTGTCCAAACAAACAACAACAAAAACAATAACAGCGATTCTGAGTGACTCCCCAGAGCTGGCGTTGGCACCAAATCCACCTTTCCCGGTGTCCCGCTGCTCCCGTCTCAGGAGCTGGGCCTCGCAGAACCCCAGTTCTGGGTCGGAACCCAAGGAGCCAAGTACAGATGAGCCGTACTTTTTTATTTCAAGGCTGGGAGGAGAAATGGGTGCGCTTTGAAGACCGCCAATTCTCTCCCAAAGACATCACACCATTCCTCCCCCTCCTCCCCCTCCTCCTCCCCCTCCTCCCCCTCCTCCTCCTCCTCCTCCTCCTCCTTCCCCTCCTCCTTCCCCTCCTCCTTCCCCTCCTCCTTCCCCTCCTCCTCCCCCTCCTCCTCCCCCTCCTCCTCCCTCTCCTCCTTCCCCTCCTCCTCCCCCTCTTCCTTCCCCTCCTCCTCCTCCTCCTTCTCCGGCTCCAAGAAGAAGGAACGTTGCGGGGACCCAAGAGGAGCCTCGGAACCGGGCTTCCGCCACCCGAGGAGCAACGCCCCGGAAACGGGCCGCGGGGAGAGCCTCCGAGGGCGGCGACCAGCCGAGGACCCGCGCCGGGAAGGAAGGGGTCGGCCCGCGCGCCCCCCGCGCCCCCTGCGCCCCCGCGCGAGCGCGAGCCGCCGGCGGAAGTCGTGCGTCGCGCACTTCCGGGTGTTGTCTGGTCGCTGCTGCTGCCGCCGCCGCCGCTGCGCGTCTCTGGTCTCCGGGCCGCCGCCGCCGCCGCCTCGGGTCCTGGAGCCAGGAGCGACGTCACCGCCATGGCTGGCATCAAAGGTGGGCCTGGGGCGCGGGGCCCCGGGGGGCTGGGGGGCCGCCCGCGGCGAGGGGGAGGGCGCCCCCCACGGCCCCCCGCCCGCCGCCACCGCCCCCGCCCCGGCCGCCGCGCGCGCCGCGGGGTCCCAGCGCCGGAGGCCGACCCTGGCCCCGCCCCCGCCCCCGCCCGTCCCAGTCTCTGGGCGGGGTGGGCGCGGCGCCCTCCCCGTTGGGTCGGCCGGGGTCCCGGCTCCTCGGCCAGCCCCCCACTCTCAGCCGGTCCCTCTCTCTCCCCCACCCATCACCCCCCGGACAGAGCATGAAGTGGTCCGCGGTCTGTTCAAAGTCCCGCAGCTAGTAACTCGTTTTGCAGGAGTTTGCATCCCAGAGAGAGGGGGGCAGAGAGTGTGCGTTTGAGGGGGGCTGAGACCGCGAGAGATGGCAGTTGCGGGAGAATCAGTGTCCTTTCCCACTTAAAGGCGCCAGTGCGATCGTGGGGCGCCGAGCCGAACCCAGCGGCGCTGCAGCGCCCCGGAAGGGTTAAGGCGGCTCTTCCCTCTTCCCGAAACCTGGGCGATCGCATCCTCCCCGGACCCTGCTCCGAGCTCTCCACGCTCCTCCTGCAGCTGATGCATCCTGATCTGTGATGTGTGTGCCCGAGGCTAGACCCTGGAGGCAGCCACAAAGTGTTACTCTTTTTTTTTTCATATATATATATGACCTTTATTGAGCTTATCCACCAGAGTGGAAATAATGTCTGTACAAAACCAAATGTTTGTTACTATTACTTCTGCATCACAATTAAAATCCAAACAGTTTGTTTTAAAAAACAGTCAACTCAATCAAAACCCACTACTTCAGAATCAATAGCTTCTTTGAGGCTACAGTAACACTTCAATATGCAGAAGTTTGGTTGGTTGGAAAGCTAATTAAACTTCCAACTTGCTCAAATAGAATTACAAAAAGGCAGAATGGTGTTTTTCACAGAGATACAGTCCACTGGAATCACCAACCCTGGATAGCTGTTAAGAGTATTTAGAGTCCAGAGATAATATGAAATCCAGGCATCCTTTAGACAGTCTGCTGTTGTCAAAGTGTTCCTCTTCTCTGCCCTTCGCCACACTTGCAGGTTGAGGCTCTCAGTTTTTCACATTTCAGAGTCTTCATGTAGTTGGGTTTTTAAAAGATGAAATAGTTTAAAACTTAGTGGGGGGAAAATCGTCCTTTGATCGTATCTTTTCCTTAGAAATAGGAAGGTTGCATTCTTCCCAACTGGTAGTTTTGTTCATGTGATTAGAAGCAGATACCATTAACAGCGTTTTCAACTTGATAATGAACTTCATTGATTTCCTGACCTGCGGCTTTGTAAAAGGGGCAGCAAAGCAAGGAAGTGAAGAACTTGGATGGCAGTGTGTTTTTTTCCCCCTCTGTATTTTATTTCCTTTAAGGACAACTTTTGAGCTGCTTTCCCACAGTCACTTAAAAAAAAAAAAAAAAAAAACACTTTCTTGTTTATTTTTTATTTCTGGAATCATGTTGTTTCCCATATGAAATGTTGTCATCTGAGCAACTAAGAGCCTTTATGATCTTCTTTTGAACCATAATAGATCCTTTTAAATGCTTGTGTGAAAGGCAGTGAGGGTAGAAGGCTGTAGTTTTTAGGATGTTGCCAGGTTCCCTGTTCTTCCTCATTTCTTCAGTGTTATTAATGCAGGAGTCTCTTAAAATAACTGTAATTTCTTCCTGTAAACCTAGGTAAATAAATATTAACTGGGTGAAAGTGTCTTAGATGGAATTGTACTTAACATTCTTTGTTTCAGTAAGATTTTCTGATTGTTACGATTATGACTATCAAGATATTTTCTTCCTGTTGGCCTGTTATAGTAAGGAAGAGTGTTGCTATAATTGGAATCAATTGTTTGTTTCTTGAGCCACTTGCCTGTTGCTTTGTTACATATTAGCTTTTTCTGGTAACTGCTAGGTTAGGGAACTGGTCCCCTTTTCTATCCTAATTTCTAATCACAGAACCAGCACCCTGTCTCTAGATATAGTTTAGATAATTGGGCTGTTCTGTCCATCACTACTGTGGAGGCGAGGCTTTGGGAAGAGAAATCAGACTCATCTAAGATTGCTTCCAAATGTTGCATCACTCAATGACAGTATAAATTCTTGTCTTGTTGATGTCATCTAGGACAACCATTTATACACAAATGATGAAATTTGTATATAAATCAGCCTAGCTCCTGATTTCATAATACTGGAGAAACTTTAAAAGTTTTGGGAATACTTTTTAAATTTTTATTTAAACCCCATTGGCTTTTATCCAGTATGACTAGGTGGTGACATGTCACATAAAATTTTTTTTATACCAGAATCATATCTTATTTATTTTTTAAAATATACTCCTTTATTGATTTCAGAGAGAAAGGAAGAGGGAGAGAGAGAGAAATATCAGTGATGAGAGAGAATCATTGATCGGCTGCCTCCTGCACACACACACCCCCGCCCTCCACTGGGGATTGAGCCCTCAACCCAGGCATGTGCCCTTGGCCAGAATCGAACCTGGGACCCTTCAGTCCTCAGGCTGATGCTCTATCCACTGAGCCAAACCGGCCAGGGCAATCATACCTTATTTTAGTTCCTTGATTTTTTTAAAAAAAAAGAAGTTGTCTTTCATTAAGTTTTTAAGAATTTAGATTTTCTTTTTTTTTTATAAGAACATAAGTAGTTGTTCTCTGTCACAGAATACAGTTACCCTCATAGACCAAGTCCTAAGACTACTTGCCGCTTGGCCAAGATGACAGAAAACTAGTATGCTTTTGGAGGATTTCTCTGTCTGATTTACTTTTCAGTCTCCTCCTTCCTATTAGAGGCCAGATAATGCTTATATGCAGTTCTACCTCCTCTTTCTCATTTGTTTTGATATGGGGAACAAGATAATCAAATGTATAAAATTTTATGTCACAAGATGTGGGTAACTGATCTTTTCACTAATTTTGCTCTGGACACATGAATTGCTATGAAAACATATATGCTTGGATGATTTTTTTTCCCTTATTTTTTTTCTTATTAAATTATTACCTGTGTACATATCTACCATTGCCCCCCCACCATACATGCCCTCCCTCCCCAGAGCTTTGTGACCATTGGTTGTGCTTATATGCATGTATACAAGTCCTTTGGTTGATCTCTTATCTCCCCCAGATATCCCTCCCCTCCCCGCTGTAATTTGACAGTCTGCTTGTTGCTTTACTGTCTCTATATCTTTCTTTTGGTTCATCAGTTTATCCTGGATGTTTCTTTAAAATAAAAATGTTTTGCCCGGCCAGCATGGCTCCGTGGTTGAGAATTGACCTGTGATCCAAGAGGTCACAGTTTGATTCCTGGTCAGGGCACCATCCACAGTGTGGGGTGTGCAGGAGGCAGTCGATCAATGATTCTCTCTCATTGTCGATGTTTCTGTCTCTCCCTTTCCCTTTTCCCCTGTGACATCAATATAAATATATTTTTTTAAAAATAAAAATGTTTCATTCTGCCAAAATTCACACACAATAATTGTTTTACAAAATATGAATAAATAACCTCTGAATAAGAGCCTAAGAGTTTGTTTATAAAAAATGTTAACTTTATGCTCTGGCCAATGTGGTTCAGTTGGTTGAGCATCGGCCTATGTACCAAAAGGTCACTGTCTGGTTCCCAGTCAGGGCAATCCTCAGTAGGGCGTGTGCAGGAGGCAGCCCATCAATGTTTCTCTCCCTTCCTCTCAAAAAACAATAAAAACATATTTTTCAAAAAAGAATATTAGCTTTAGTGTATGGGTTTTGTGACATATATTTTGTCGTTTTAGTGACCTTTATTTCCTACAGGATCCTAAGCTATTCTGGGTAAATGGACTTCTGAATGATAAAGGGGTTCTTGTATACTATTTATAGTGGTGAACTTAGCTATTTGGCAGCAACATTAAAAAAAAAAAAAAAAGCAGAGATGACAAATATCTCTAGTTTTCAGAGGGTTATTTGCATCTCAGATCTAGTACAACTCTCATAGGAGAAAGTACTGACACTCAGATGAAATCACTGAATTTAGACAGCTAGAGAAGGCTGGTAGGAGATAGGACCCAGCATCTCCTGATTTTCAGTTAGGGACTGTATCTGTCTACCCTACTACATCAGACACACTATCTTCCCCTTCCCTCCCCATCCTCCCCTTTCCTCCCCCCTCCCCAACTCCCCTCTACTCCAGCTCTCCTACCCTTCCCCCCCAGTCTGCTCCCTTCCCTTTCTCTCACCACCCCTTCCTTCCTTTCATTAATTCTACCGATATTAATTATCATTTAAGTGTTAAGTGCTGAGGCGTGAGCATCAACAACAGAAAAACAGTTTAAAAGGAAAGTCAAATACAAATCAATGTACATCACAGCTGTGATAACTGAATAAAGGGGAGGTGTACAGTGTAAGACAAGCATGTTATACTCTCAGCCCACGGGCCGCATGCGGCCCACAACGAATATTTATGCAGCCCAGTCAATGAAACAGTATGTTAGAAACATTTTAATAAAAATTTGTAACTTAATTTTTACAATATCCTTTTATACATAATTATTTTTTAAATATATTTTATTGATTTTTTTTTTTTACAGAGAGGAAGAGAGAGGGATAGAGAGTTAGAAACACCGATGAGAGAGAATCATCGATCAGCTGCCTCTTGCAGGCTCCGTACTGGGGATGTGCCCGCAACCAAGGTACATGCCCTTGACCGGAATCAAGCCTGGGACCTTTCAGTCCGAGGGACAAGGCTCTATCCACTGAGCCAAACCGGTTTCACATAATTATTAATAACGAACTACAACATTCGCTAATGACTGATTACTAGAATCCAGTGGCATTCATTTCCCTTCCATGCCTTCTGCTAAGGCGCACCATTTCTCTCCACTAATACTAGCAGCGAATATTTTAGCAACCGATTGTCACCTTATTAGTCTTGTGCTGACTTGTTTAGTGTGTGCAACAGGAAATATCTCACTTTCGGAGAACAGGAAAAATAGGTTTATTTGCATTGCACTTATTAATTTGTGCAGTTATTCAGTGTCTAATGAGTGTTCAAGAAAAATAAATGTTACTTTATGTTAACAATGATGCATTTACGTCAGCCCTTTGTATTCAGCATGTCCTATCACAGTAAACCTACTTTTTTTTAATGAAAATTGAAGCTTTGGGGTTTTTTTTCAGCCCACATAAACTTAAACCTTGTTTATTTGGCCTGTGTTAGCCTTTGAGTTTGACATGCTTGGTGTAAGGAGAGCCTCTGCACATGCATGTCCCTCTGCAGAGTTCCCCCAGATGTCCACAGGGTCCAGTTTCTCATTTCCTATAGGTGTCTATTCATTGGCACCTCATCAGAGATGCCTTCCCATGCCTCTGTGTCTAGACTAGCACTCTCTCCCCTTACCCTATCTGATTTTTTTTCATGGCACTGACATTTATTTGCTGACTTTTTAATTTTTTTAAATACATTTTTATTGATTTCAGAGAGGAGGGAGAGAGAGATAGAAACATCAATGAGAGAGAATCATTGATTGGCTGCCTCCTGCAGGTCCCACGCTAGGGATTGAGCTGCAACCTGGACATGTGTCCTGACCAGGTTCATAGGTTGTGACCCCTGATCATAGGTTGGCACCCAACCAGTGATGGCTGGCTGACTCTTTAAATATCATTTATTCTCCTGCTAGAATGTAAGCTTCCTGAGAGTAAGAGCTTTGAATTTTTTATTTTTAATGATTTTAGAGAGGAAGGCGGGAGAGAGTGAGAGAGAGAGAGAAACATCCATCAGCTGCCTTCTGCACATGCCATGGTTTCTACCACCTTTGGTGTACTGACATTGTTGTACTGAGCCACACTGGCCAGGGCAAGAGCTTTGATTTTTTTCCATTCCTTTATCTTCAGAATCAAGAATAGTAAGTGAGATATAATAGGTGCTCAATAGCTATTTTTTGAATGAATGAATATAATAGGAGGTTTGGGAAAAATTTACTGGGGAAGAAATACTTGAGCTGAGATCTGAATGAAGAGTAGAAATTAACTTGGAGGAAAGAGGAAGGAGTAGGAGGACAAGAATGCAAGCTCCCTGAGTGTGAAAGGGCCGTATCATTTATTAACATATCCCCAGCGCCTGTTACATATTGGTGCTCAGTAAATATTTTTTGAGTGAAATGAATGAATAAAGCTCTATCTGAGGTACAAGAGACAACACGTGCAACGAACACGTAGATGAGGGAACCTGCCGATTCCCAGAAAATGAGAGAGGGCCAGGGTCACTGGAGTGCAGAGGGCCAGGGTGAGTAGCCCATTGTGATTGATGTGTGTCAGGGGAAGTAAACAGGGCAGATTATGAAGACATAGGTAACTGAACAAGCAGATGGTAAATTCAGTAATTCCCTAATCATTTACATTTTATTCCCTATAAACTTCTCATTTGCTGTAAAATTAAAATGCAACTTTTTCTCTCAGTAACTGAACATATTATGACATTAAGGACTAAGTAAATGTGTGCAGGGTTGATATAACCTACACGAAAGTTGTTTCTATTCACTGATATATGTGAAAATCCTTTGTAAAATATAATGCTTCGTATAAGTATGTGTGTATAACTTGAGAAACTATCTTATCAGTTTTGTGTATATTTGCAGTGCGTAAGAAGCAAAACCTGAGCAAGATAGATTTTCCCAAAGGAGGACAAGTCCAGTAAAGCTGACAGTGCGGAGTTTCTCCACATAATTGCTTTTCAGAACTACAGTGATCTGTGGAGTAAACATAGTACTGATGTCTGGAGGAGCATTGATCTTATAGGTTGAGAACAGAATCAGGAAATTCAGAGGTGTGCTAGCAAAAGGTGAGGGCTTTGAAAAATCAACATTGCTTCATTTTTGCCTTGAAGATGCTACAGAAGACTTATTGTATGATTAGGTAACTTCCACATTGAAAGGTAACTCACTTTCAGTGCATTTGGTTTTGCGTGCATTGTTTTGCTTTTTACTTCTGGGATTACAAGTGATGATCAGACTGCTAATAATAATAATAATAATAATAATAATAATAATATTGATTTAGTTTAATTATATTTCTACTTGATTTTTTATTTCCTTTGCAGCTCTGATTAGTTTGTCCTTTGGAGGAGCAGTTGGGCTGATGTTTTTGATGCTTGGATGTGCCCTTCCAATATACAAGTATGTAAAATGTTTGTGGGGTTTTGTGCATATATAAGAATTACATTTTTCTGCTTTTAAAGCTCAAATTTTTTTTTTTTTTATTGCTGTAGAAGTAATCCTGAGAAACCATCTTAAAAAGAATGAGGAAGCGCTGTAATTGCTAATATGTAAAGTTCAAGATATATTGTTAAATGGAAAAGTGCAATGATTCATTCATAATTTTAAAGTGTTTATCAAATAGAAAGATGGAAGGGTCCACAAGAAGCTTAAGAGAATAGGAAGGAAAAAGCAGAGATGTAGGCAACTTTGGGTTTTCTCTTTTTGTGCTTTTGTATTGTTTGAGGTTTTTTTCTTAAGCATATGTTCATTTGCAATTTTTTTTCTAGTCTCAAAAATATCTAGGAAGAGATTTTAAGTAAAAACATAGATAAAGCTTTGCTTAGTATAAGCCTGTATGAATGAATCTTCACTCTGATGTTTGTATTTTAGCTTAACCTTGTATTTTAAAATAATTATGGACTATCAGAATTTGTGAAAATAGTGCAGAGCATCCCCTGGTACCCTTCACACAGTTTCCCCTCAGTAATACTGTCTCACATAGCTATGATTTTATTATTATAACCAGAAAATGACAATACAGTAGCTGAACTACAAACTAAAAGCCATCTATCTTTATTATAATAAATTATATATTCTGGCTTAAAGTTTTCAATATTACTTTCAGTTCATTTTCTCTACTTTGATTTTTTATATTTGGGTAGTGCCGAGTGACCTAAGAAAAGTTTGGAGGTGTGCCAGCTCTATGCTATGGCAGGATATCATTGAAGTCAAGGGCATGACTTGTGAATTTAAAAATGACTGTGATAACATTCCCATTTTCCTATGCTTCTTTATTTATAATGTAAAATAAAATATAGTTTAAATTTTAGGCCTTGATTCCAACTGTTTTAATTTATAAAGCATTTTCTTTTAACATAAGAAATATTTTACTAATTGTATCATAATTAACATTGGGAATACTATGATTCTGAATGTTCCTCTTTTTGGTGTTCAGGTTATATTAATAGCTTATGTTTAAGTTGTATCATGTTTTGTACATTGTAATATTCCTTTGGTCCTTATTTTTAAAACGCATATTTTATGTGTTGAAAAATGATATAAATAGCAAAACTGCATTAACTTATTTTTTTCTTTTTCTAGCCAATACTGGCCCCTCTTTGTTCTGTTTTTTTACATCCTTTCACCTATTCCATACTGCATAGCAAGAAGACTAGTGGATGATACAGATGCTATGAGTAACGCTTGTAAGGAACTTGCCATCTTTCTCACAACGGGCATTGTTGTCTCAGCTTTCGGACTCCCTATTGTATTTGCCAGAGCACACCTAGTAAGTGAACACATTCTTCCCTAATGTAAAGCTTTTTTCAGGAAAAACTTTTTGTTAAAATGGCACGAAAAAGTGATGAGACAAGGGAGCCTCTAGGATAGAGATTTAGAAATGTACTTTTGTGGTTAACTGATAAAAATGGTATTGGAAAGCATGGCTCAGGTGTACAGCATGGTTGGCTTACCGGTACTTTACTATCAGAATTGGGCACAAAAGCTAATCAATCAGGTGCTGAACAACTATAAGCCTGTGCTGTACAAATGGAAACAAGGAAGACCCAAGGAAATCTGTATTCTTTGCAGGTGGGGAAGTACAAAAGAGAAGGCTGGGTTACATATACTCAGTTCTTCCTCCCAAACTCGCCAGTCATAGGTTCCCTCTTTCATCTCTGGGGAAGTAGAGAAGACAGAAAAGATGGGGCCTGGCCACCCTTCCATACTGCTCCTGTCCCTTTAAAGGAATGTACGTTATTATGTTTTCACCTCTGATACTATCAATATAATCTTCTCTACATATATTGGGATTTTTTGTTGATTTTTTTTTAATCTGCTCTCTAGATAAAATTTTATTTTATTTATTTATTTTTATATTAATTTTTACAGAGAGGAAGAGAGAGGGGTAGAGAGTTAGAAACACTGAGAGAGAATCATCGATCAGCTGCCTCTTGCACACCCCCTACTGGGGGTGTGCCCACAACCAAGGTACATGCCCTTGACCAGAATTGAACCCGGGACCTTTTAGTCTGCAGACTGACACACTATCCATTGAGCCAAACCGGTTTCGGCTGCTCTCTAGATAAAATTTTAGATTCGCTAAAGAAGAGTTGGAGCAAATGTCTTTATAAACAGAAAATTGTAGAATTCTATGCTGCCTTCTCATAGCCCAGAAGGCAACAAGCTTGTTTTGAATAATGAATCATCTTTCCCTGGCTTTCTCTTTTTAAAGGAACTAGAGATAAATACAAACAGTAAAATAGAGGTACTATTAATTGTTCAGTAGTGTCTTAGATCATGATTGGCACATAACTAGAGCCTTGCTTTGCTTTTCACTTTGTTTTCATATGTCTATTAACTGAATGTTTATATCTTATTTCCATAGATTGCGTGGGGAGCTTGTGCACTTGTTCTCACAGGAAACACAGTCATCTTTGCAACTATACTGGGCTTTTTCTTGGTCTTTGGAAGCAATGACGACTTCAGCTGGCAGCAGTGGTGAAAGAAATTACTGAACTATTGTCAAGTGGACTTCTTGTCATTTGTTGACCATCCATGCACACAGGAGATGGGGCAGCAATGCTGAATGGTATAGCAAGCCTGTTGGGGTGTTCTAGGTACTCCCTTCTCCCTTTTATTGTAAGCATACTATTTTCACAGAGACTTGCTAAAGGATTAAAAGGATTTTCTCTTTTGGAAAAAAAGCTTGACTGATTTCACACTTATCTATAGTATGCTTTCTGTGGTGTCCTGCTGAATTTAAATATTTATGTGCTTCTCCTGTTCAATTTTTTTTTTTAATCAATATGCAGTGTTAAAAAATTTTTTAAATGTAATAACTATTCACATTGGTTAGGAATTAGATTTCTACAGGATATTACTGGGCTAAAGTATATCTTTCAAAATTATGAAACCTTCATGATTACGAAAAGTTAAAAAAGTAAGTTTCAATCAGTCAGGATGACATCACTCCCAATTTTATGCACACATTCAGACTGTTGGCATACGTTATAGACTATATACTACTCAGTGCAAATATAGCGGCGTTTATACCTCAGAAGGGCCAAGCATTAATGCCCGTGCTGGTTTTGCCAGTCAGCAGATGTTTTGTGAGTTGAAAATTATTTTATGGAATTGCTACAAAGAAGTGCTTTTCTTCTCAATTGTGTGAAGAATTTTTGTTGTTGTTGTTAAACTTTAAGGTAAGGGTGTAAAAACAGATTTTTGAGATAAGGTTTTTATTTGTTTATGATAAAGAGTTGCATTGTGGAAGGAAATGATGTTGAAATTTCATTTTTTGAGTCCTATTTCTAAGGGAAATTTTTGATCGTTTATCAGCCTTTCATATTGAACCATAGGTAAAATGGACATTTGTGGAACTACTACTGATAAGGGAAAGATGTTTGCCTCATGTATACAGAAAACCTCTCCTTGCTCCCGCCTTTTAACTTATTTTATACAGTGAATATAGTAAGTAAAATAACTTCAAATATAGATTAATAACACTTAAAATCAGAGGTGTTTAACTCACCTGGAAAGTAATTGCTATGCCATACACTCAGAGTGCCCCCTGCCCGACAAGGCCTTGGCATGATTAACAATTGCCTTGTTAATCCTGCAGATAATTCATGCATTAACAATTTAAGATTTAGATAATGGTCATTGTAGTTCTTATTCCCTAATGTTATATGTAATTTAAAACTATTTAAGACAAGTTTCTTGTATACCTCTCAATGGTTTTCATTTTTATTCCATCACAATAGAGCTGTGGTTTCCTTTTAAATGGCATTTATTGTGTGAATTAATGCAAAGTAGCCAAATCCAGCTTCGGACACAAACCCAACCTGAAAATTCCCAGTAACCAGACATGATCAGATTGTAGTGGTTATTTGCAGCTCACAGTTATCAGTACTTTTTTCGGGAGCTTATTATGAAAATGTTTAAATGACAATTTGTTAAGGACAATTTGTTAAGGACATTTGTATGTTTATTCAGTATACTTCCATAAAAATTGTCTTGCCTTCAGACAAAACTGAGTAATCATGACATATATCTTTTGTTATTTTATAAAGTTTTCAAGAAAATGGGAACAAATTTTAGGTTTGGTCATCTTTTCACTATAGGCCACAGGTTTATAAAGCTGCACCCAAGTTATTACCTGTGAGGTGGGAAGCAGAATGAAATATCTGCATGTGCTGGTCCCATTTACACATTAGGCTGAAGATGGGAAGCAGTGCTATAGTCCTGGAGTCTTAAAGAGGAAGGTACAAGTTCACATGAATTAGCTGGTGAAACCGTTGGGAACTCAGTGCCTATAATCTTGATTTTTTTGGGAGGAAGTACATTCTTTAGTCATTCCCCATTTTCTGTTCCAGAATATCAGCACAGTGCACTGCAACTGTTTCAGTCACTTGGCCATAGACTCCTTTTCTAACAGCTGCATATTCTTTCTGTATACTGATTGCATTGGCGGCATTGTGTCTTTGATCTTGCACACTAGCTTGACATAGTGCTGTCTCTGATTTCTAAGCTAGTTACTTGAGGTATGAATTTTCCATAGAACATGCACTGATACTTCATTGCCATTCTTCTATGGAAAGAAAACTTTTGATGATGAAACAATAAAGATTTTAAATATCATTTTTAGTTTGTGGGTGTTTTTGAAATGAAAATGTGTACTACACACTTCAGTTTCTGAAGTCATTATCCATTTTAATAGTGTAATAGGAAGCAAGAAAGACATGAGTTATAACATTAGACTTTCAGAAGTTTCACTTCCAAAATTAAACTGAAATCATAGTAATAAATATTACAATGAAGCCCTATGAACATTGAGCTTTAGTAATAGGATTGGTAATCTGGGCAGTAGAGTTTTTACCCAACCTTTTACAAAAACAGCAATAGAAGGTTTTGTTGACATGAAAAGATTACTGATAATCTAAAGTTAAATTTTCAGGACACTTTTATGACTGCATGTTTTACTATCTCTATTACCACTTATTATTAGAATATTTTGTTTTTTAATAAATCTTTCAAACAGTGAAGAGTAAAAAATTAATCCGTATAATACGATTTGAACAGAGAAAAGTACTCTCTTTTATCAAAATTGAATCTTGTCCCAATTATCCTAATTATAGTCTCATTATATACTTTATAAAATTCAGATTATAGGTTCTTAGTGTCTGATATGATTTGGGACATATTGTCAGAATAATCCAGATTTCTAGAGTAACTAGAATATTTATATAAAATTTTACTAGATTTTATAAGTCTCATAGAACTTTTAGTTAACGCATCAAATATAAAAAGCAGCCATGCAGCATTACTGTTAGTGATACGTGTGTGTTTTAGATCTCAGAATGCTTTGTGATGTATAAAATTGGTGGGACATGCACATTCATATTTCTTTCATATAATCATGTATTGCCCTTTCAGTAAAGACTAAGAAGCTCTTATTCTGTTACAAGCCTCCTGATTTTTCTGTTATTCCAAGGAAAGAACTATCATTTGCTAATTGGAAACCTGAACAAAAGCAAAAGATGTTCATCGTCTGCCAGCAGTGGCGTGCAGGCTTTGGCGAAGTGAGTTTTCTCGGGGGTGGACAAGATTCTGCATCCCACTGCTTTTAACCGGTCCTAGGAGATTTGTGACTTTGGCAGAGCCTTCCTGACCTTGGGATGGTAGAGGAAACTTTCTGACCTCAAGGTTACAGATAGGGGGCCCTGCTAATGGAACCCTCCCCCAAGCACTGCAATGATTTTTATTGTTGTTATTCTTATCTTTAAAAATCAACTTTAAGTGCCAAGACAATTCAGTGGGGGAAAGAATAGTATTTTCAACAAACAGTGCTAACACAACTGGATATCCTCATGCAAAAGATTGAAACTGAAACCTTACCTTACACTGTATTCAAAAATTAACTCAAAATGAATTGTAGACCTACATGGACAAACTAAACTATGAAAATCTGAGATTTACATAAGTATAAATCTTCATGACCTTGGATTAGGCAATGGTTTCTTAGATGTGACAAGCAACAAGCAGTCAAAGGAAAAATATATAAATTGTGCTTCGTAAACATGAAAGCCTTTTGGCTTCAAAGGACACTATCAAGAAAGTGAAAAGACAACCAACCCACAGATAGAAGGTATTTTCAGTTATATATTACAAGGATTATGTACACAAAAATATATAAATAGCTCAACAGTGGAAAGACAATCTTATTAAGAAATGGGAAACATCCAAATAGCCATTTCTCCAAAGAAGATATAAATGCCAGTAAGCACATGAGAAGATGCTCAACATTATTAGTCATTAAGGAAATCCAAAGGCAAACCACAAAGAAATACCATTTCACTTTCCCTAGGCTGGCTAGAATGAAAAAGATAAGTTGGCAAGGATGCAGAAAAATTAGAACCTTCATACATTATTTGGGTTCTAAAATGACTTAGCTGTTGTGTAAAACATTTTGCAGTTTCTCAAAAGTTAAATATAGCCCTAGCTGGTTTGGCTCAATGATAGAGCATCAGCCTTTGGACCAAAGGGTCCTGGGTTCAGTTCTGGTCAGGGACATGTGCTTTGGTTGCAGGCTCCTCCCTGGCCTTGGCCCTGGTTGGGCCTCGTGCAGGAGACAACCAATTGATGTGTTTCTCGCGCATCAAGGTTTCTCTCTGTCTTTCCTTCTCTTTTCCACTCTCCCTAAAAAAGCAATGGAAAAATATCCCTGGGTGAGGATTAACAAAAAAAAGGTTAAAAAAAAATTTAAAAAACACATGTTTAACATAATTGCCATATGATCCAGCAATTTTACTCCTACATATATACCCAAAAGAACTAAAAATGCCTACACAACAGCTTATACATTATTTATAATAGCTAAAAAGTGAAGTATGTTCTTTTGTGAAGAGTATATTCAAATTTTTGCACATTTTTATTGTATGGCCTTACTGAGTTGTAAAGTCCTGTGTCAGATTATATGTATTATGTTATTTTACTCCCATTCTAAAGTTTGTATTTTGCTTTCATAATGTCTTTTAAAAGCCAGAAGTGGTTTTTTTTCTTTTGATAAGTCAATTACCAAATTTTTATGTTTAAAGGTTGTTACTGCTTTTTCTGAGTTTTAAGTATTCTTTGACTACCTCTAACGTCATGAAGATTTTTCTTTTTCCTTCTAGAAGTTTTATAGACTTATCTCTTACAGTAAGGCCTATGATTCATTTCAAGATATGTTTGTGTGTGGTATGAAATAAAAGATGAGGCTTCTTCTTTTTTTTCCACATGAATTTTCACTTTCATCACTTTATTTTTAAGACCATCCTTATTCCTTTCAAGCACTTTGGCACTTTTGTAAAAAATTAACCATGTAAGTGTGAATCTACTGATGCTTTTTTAGTGAGCCTGCCTGCTCTTCAATTTTTCCAAAATTGTTTATCTATGCTAAGTTCTTAGTACGTTCCTTTAAACTTTAGAATTAGCTTGTCAATTTCTGTTTTTAAAAAGCCTCTGGGGTTTTGATTGGGATTACATTGAATCTACCGATCAAATTGGAGGAGAATTAAAATCTTAAGTTAACTCTTGCTGCATAACAAACCACCCTCAAACCTATTGGCTTAAATCAACCATCAATTATATAGCGCACCAATCTGCAATTTGGGCAGGACTTAACAGTGAAGGTTCATTTCTGCTCTATATGGTCAGGCTCAGTTTGGGACTGGTGGATCATCTTCCCAGATGGGCTACCTACATGGCTGGCAAATTGAGGGCGTTGGCTGTTAATTGAGAGCTCAGCCAAGATGAGATCCAGGCGCCTTGTTTCACTTTCAATGGAAATTTGGCTTCCTCACAACATGATGGCCAGACTAGAGGGAGAGGAAGAGAGAGAGAGAAACATCAATGATGAGAATCATTGATTGACTGCCTCCCCACATTGGGGATTGAGCCTGCAACCTGGGCATGTGCCCTGACCAGAATCAAACCTTGACCTCCTGGTTCATAGGTCGACATTCAACCACTAAGCCGTGCTGGCTGGGCCCATTTTCAGAGATTTCTCTTATCTCCAGTATCTCATACAATACTTTCAAAAAACTTGATGAGGTCCCTTGTGGGTCTAGTAGGGTCCCTATCAAACTCTTCAGGGTAATTTGGCTGATAAATGGTGGGAGGCCAGGGGTCAGGACAAATCAGTATAGTATGACTTAGATATTGTTTTATTGTTGTTGTCATCTTGGTAAACTTATATTCTGGGATCAAGCAGGCCAATAGCACTCAATTTTTTGGATATCCATGCATATGCCAATCGGTTCACAGTACCTTATGTGTGTGTGTATATATATATATATATATATATATATATATATATATATTGCTTTAACTTTTTTATTATTGATTTTTTTTTACAGAGAGGAAGAGAGAGGGATAGAGAGTTAAAAACATCGATGAGAGAGAATCATCGATCAGCTGCCTCTTGCACACCCCCTACTGGGGATGTGCCTGCAACCAAAATACATACCCTTGACCAGAATCGAACGTGGGACCTTTCAGTCTGCAGGCCAGCGCTCTATCCACTGAGCCAAACCGGTTTTGACTATTGCTTTAACTTTGCTTCCACACCAAAACCGTAAACCCTAAGGGGAAAAACTATGGCTTTTTCTTTTGTGGAACCAATGTAATAGCTTGTTAAAGCAGATACACAAATTTCAATAGCAAGACATCAGGTATATTTATCCAACATTAAAAAAAAAAAAAAAACTTTCATTATAAAAAAGTTCAAATATCTGCATCATCGACCACCATCTGGCACTTTCTAAATTCTGTTTCATGGATGTATAAAATGAAGTCTGGGGAAAGATGTCAGTTAACTTTATGCTTTCTCTTTGCTAATAGAAAAAGCAAAATGCAGTATACCACGGGAAAGACACTGCTGTAGGAATTACACAGCAGCCAGAGCGAGGAGAGGCTCCTGCCCTCCACGGCCAGCATTATATAGGCAATGATGAGCTGGGTGTGGGCCCAGGTGAGAGATCTGTAGAGTAGCCACATCGGCCAGGATCTGATAAACGACGTGGCAGAGGTGTGAATCAGGTAGTCAGCTTTCACCATCACAGCCCAGCATAGGAAACCAAACACCTGTCCTGGGTGGAGTCCGTGCCACCAGGCGGAGAAGGCGAATGTCTGCAACAACGGCCAGGCCCTGCCCTGTTGGAATATGAGGCGTCTGAGCCACCGAGCTGTGCTCTGGTTCCATTTTCTCGTGAACAAGGATATCCTGTGGGTTGTTTCTAGCATCCAAATGTCCGCATCAGGGAGGTATCCCTCCTCGCCAGGACTCTCGCCAAACTCAGACCCAAAGCCCGCGGCACAGAGCAGGGAGTCATCCAGGAGCCAGTGGGAGTAGTAGGTGAGTTTGAAGAGCCCGGCCGTGGACCACATGACGTAGATACACTGGAGCTGATGGCAGTCCGACAGACCCACTCCTGCACTCATCACCCACCTCATGACCACCATCAGGCACTCCAGTCCCAGAATCTGCAGACTCTTCCAGGTGAAAGTCCAGAAAGAGAACCGGGGACACAAAGAGCTGGACCCTTGAACACGAGCCTGAAATCTCTGGAAAGAACACAGAGGGCCTCCTAGGAGGCCAGGAAAAAAGAGCAAGTAGCTGAAATAGGGCAGTGCCTTACACAGATGCTCCGACAAAGAGATCCTGCTCCTGATGTCTTGGGATGCTGCCTCCACCTTCCCCTCACAAATGTCCAGAGACAGGGATGTGACCCTCTGGGTCAAGAGCATGAGGGAAGAAAGAGTGATGCAGAACCTGAAAGAGAGACAGTTTTTCATGTAAAAAACATTCCGTATTTATTTTATCCCATTCCAGCCCCTCATACATGACCCTATAAGCAAATGGGGAGTGCTAAACAATTAAGACCAATATCATGGCCTGGAATACGCCCACAAAGACTCTTGAGTTAATTCAGAACCACAAGCTACTCCAGAAAGAATCAAAAGATAAATGGGGAGCCGAAACCGGTTTGGCTCAGTGGTGGAGCATCGGTCTGTGGACTGAAGGGTCCCGGGTTTGATTCCGGTCAAGGGCATGTGCATTGGTTGCGGGCACATCCCCTGTGGGGGGTGTGCAGGAGGCAGCTGGTCGGTGTTTCTCTCTTATCGGCATTTCTAGCTCTCTATCTCTTTCCCTTCCTCTCTATAAAAAATCAACAAAGTATATATATATTTTTTAAAAAAAGATAAATGGGGAAATTAATCAGTCAAAGAGGCAGATAAAAGAATGACAAGGAATATTGTGGGGAGGTATTGATTATAATATTTCTAAGAATGGCTTCTAAAGATCAGGGCCTGGGAGAAATTTGCTATAGAAGAAACAAAAAGTAGTGAAAAGATTATAGAAAGTTGAAGATTGTAAAAAATGAACCAATCCCTGACCTTTTTAAAGAAAATACGTTTTTACTGATTTCAGAGAGCAGACGGGAGAGGGAGAGAGAGATAGAAATATCAGCGATAAGAGGGAATCATGATCGGCTGCCTCCTGTATACCCCTACTTGGGATTCAGCCTGAAACCCGGACATGTGTCCTGACCAGGAATTGAACAGTGACCTCCTGGTTCATGGGTTGATGCTCAACCACAGCCATCGAGCCAGGCCAATCCCTGACTTTTGCTGGCAATTTGTGCTGAGGAACAGTGAATCAACCTAGAGGTTCAGTGTGTGCGCTGAGTCATTAACAACCAAGGTGTGTTCTTAACCAACCATCTGAACATCTGAACTGTCCCTGCTTCACCCTCACAAAGTGGAGAAGATCCCACTGGCAAGATTATTGTGGAGAAAATGAAAATTACAGTGACGTACTTGACAATCAGGAATACTGTCCTATGGAGAGAAAATAGCATGTTTCCTAATCACTATTGTTTTTATCTGTGTGTCAAGAATTAAGGACAGTGATCTCCTCATTTGGTTTATCCTAACAATAAGCCAAGTAGCCTCCGAATGCCACCAACCCCTGTTTACTCACTTTCTGCTAAGTGCCGAATGTGTCCCTTACAGACTCACATGTTGAAGTCCTAACCCTGGCAACTCAGAATGGGACTGTTTTTGGAGGAAGGTTATTTAGAGAGGTAGTTATGTTAAAATGAGGTCAGAATGGGACTGTTTTTGGAGGAAGGGTATTTAGAGAGGTAGTTACATTAAAATGAGATAATTAGGGTGGGCCCTAATCCAATACAACTGTTATCCTTGTAAGAAGAGGAGATTAGGACACAGACACACAGAGGTAAGACCATGTGGCGGCACAGGGAGAAGGTGGCCCGTTGTAAGCCAAGAAGAGAGGCCTCAGAAGAAGCTGAATCTACCAACACCTAGATCTTGGACTTCCAGCTTTCAGAGGAAATACATTTCTATTGTTTAAGCCACCCGGTAGGTGGTACTTTGTTACAACAGAGCAAACTAGTACACCTTCCATTTCAGCTCTGGCTCAGCCTTGCTTCTGTCAGTCCAGATCCTGCTCAACTTGTTCCTCTTACTGAAATCCTACTCTGTTGCACCCCCATTAGTATCCCCACCCCCATCCCCATCCACCTGCCATCTTGCTTTTTCTTCAGAGAAGCAAACCCTGAGGCTTTGGTAAATCAAATAAAGAAAAGGATTCTGCCATGGACGGTTTGGCTCAGTGGATAGAGCATTGGCCTGCAGACTGCAGGGCCCCAGGTTCGATTCCTGGTCAGGGCACATGTCTGGGTTGCAAGCTGTATCCCCAGTGGGGGTTGTGCAGGAGGCAGCCAATCAATGACTAATCATTGATGTTTCTATCTCTCTCTCCGTCTCCCTTCCTCTCTGAAATCAATAAAAATATAGTTTAAAAAGAAAAAAAAAGGATTCTGTGTTTGGTATGGCTGACAAAATGAGTGAATCAATGACAGGTTGGAATCAGAGAGGTGACCCACTTCAACAGGTCAAAGCCCCATTTCTCTGATTGACCATGGATGCAAAGCGATTGTGCTAACACAGGGAGCCCGAAAAAATAGGCTCAAGATCACAGAGATAGCCGAAACCGGTTTGGCTCAATGGATAGAGCGTCGGCTTGGGGACTGAAAGGTCCCAGGTTCGATTCCGGTCAAGGGCATGTACCTTGGTTGCGGGCATATCCCCAGTAGGGGGTGTGCAAGAGGCAGCTGATCGATGACTCTCTCTCATCGATGTTTCTAACTCTCTATCTCTCTCCCTTCCTCTCTGTACAAAATCAATAAAAATATATTTTAAAAAAAGATCACAGAGATAGCCAAAACCGGTTTGGCTCAGTGGTAGAGCGTCGGCCTGCGGACTGAAAGGTCCCTGGTTTGATTCAGGTCAAGGGCATGTACCTTGCACACTAGGGGGTGTGCAAGAGGCAGCTGATCAACGTTTCTCTCTCATCGATGTTTCTAACTCTCTATCCCTCTCTCTTCCTCTCTGTAAAAAAACAATAAAATATATATTTAAAAAAAAAAGATCGCAGAGATATTCTTCCCCCTAATCTTGGTGATGTCACCGACACATGAAAACACTTCTCTAGGCTGTAATTAGCACTGATTTTTTTTTTTTCTTTTCTAGATTGGGTGCCTTTCCTTCTTCTGAGAAAATGGAAGGGTGAGTCCCAATGACAGTACAACTCTTGCACAGCAGGTGCCATGGGAAGGCAGCAAAGGTTTACAATGGACTTATACCTCCCCTGAACTGCTAAAGGGGAGGGCAGGCTGCTGGCTGCGTGTCTATAATACACCACCCACACGAGGTGAGCAAACTGTGCTTAGTCACTTCCGGGCAGCCTCATCTGTGTGCCGGGGACTCCTGGGCCAACCTTCTCTGGCACAAAGGTAATTACAGTTCATGGATGAACACCTGGTAGTTATTAACAGTCTACACTTCATGGATGAACACCTGGTAGTTATTAACAGTCATATCATTACATTTAATTCATTATCTCTAACATAAAGGGTCTTGGAAGATAGGTTTTTTTACATTCCACCACCACACACCTTTTTTTTTTCTTCTTCAGAAAAAGAAACAGAGGCTGTGAGAGGTTCAATGACTTGCTCAAGGTCACACTGCTCAAATATAGAAGAATTTGGATTCAAGCTCAATACCCAGTTCTGCCACCACAGTGCAAACAACCCCTTTGGACGGTTCAGTACAAGCACATGGCTGAACTGCTTTACCTCATGGAAGGAGGTTCCTGCAGGTAATACTCAGTGTAGTGCAAACCCAGGTGGCACAGCGTCTGCCAGCTCATCTGAAAGAAGAAAGTCCACCTGTGGACTTCCTGTGGGCCGAGGGAGCTGATCAGAACCACAGTGCCCAGAGCGGGGATGAAGACAAGCACAGCAAAGGAACCCATGGCAGCCAAGGCCAGGGCCCCTCCTCCAGCCAGGAGAAAGAGGTGCCTGAAAGAAGAAGGACAGACTGACTTAGAACAGTGCGACACATGAGCCGCTGCAGTCACTCTGGGTGACTCAGTGGAAGCAGGCCTCACAGAGCACCTGACGACGTCATACTGTTATCACTCCCAAACCTTCCTTCCATTCTTCTGAAGGGAAGAGCCATGGGAGAAAGAGCCAGAGTCCATTTGTGAATGATTACCCTAGGACCATGGTCGAGAGCCATATGCGGCTCTTTGGCCCCTTGAGTGTGACTCTTCCACAAAATGCCATGGCCTGGGCGAGTCTATTTTGAAGAAGTGGACTTAGAAGGAGTTTAAGTTTAAAAAATTTGGCTCTCAAGAGAAATGTCAATCGTTGTTCCGTTGATATTTGGCTCTGTTGACTAATGAGTTTGCCGACCACTGCACTAGGAGATCAGTCTTGACTCCTGCTTTAGTGACCCTGGGCGCCTCTCTTTGATGTCCCCCATTCAAGTAGGAATGACACCTGCCCCCTAACAACTCTGGGTGACAGGTCCAGGAGGTTTCCTTCCTGGGACATCTTTGAAATCTACTGGTATGAAAGTGAGGTCAACCTGGAGTTGAGGATCTAGGAAATCTCTCTAGATGTCATCTCATCAAGAAGTATAAACTGGTAGTTACAGGATAGAAATGGGGATGTAAGGTATAGCATAGGAAATATTGTCAATAATATTGTAATAAGTATGTATGGTGTGAGATGGGTACCAGATTTATTTGGGTTCTAACTTAGTGAGTTATATAATGCCTAATCACTGGATTGCACACCTAAAACTAATATAATATTGTATGTCAGCTGTAATTTAAAAATTAAAATATATACCTAAAGTAAAAAGATGATTCTCATCATTGGTGTTTGTATCTCTCACTCCTTCTGCCTTCCTCTCTGAAATCAATAATAATAATAAAAAAAAGTGTGATTGTATTTAATTTGTGTTGCAATCTATGCTATTTGACCTACCGTGTTTCCCCGAAAATAAGACATCCTCCGAAAATAAGACCTAGCACATGGAAAGATAAGACATCCCCTGAAAATAAGACTTAGCGCAACATTGGGAGAAAAAATTAATATAAGACACTGTCTTATTTTCGGGGAAACAGGGTACTATAGCATTCATAGATGTCTAGACAAAATCAGCCATAACACCTACCTGGCATGAGTGGAAAATGAATCCATCCTGCAGAGATAATTAAATAGAAGTGCAAAGGGAAAAGCAGACCCTTGATAAAGTGAGACGGGATGGAGGAAAAACAGCCGAAGCCGACCCATTAGGAACTGGCATAGATGATCCTGTCCTCTCCAGAGTCCTTAATTGGTGCCTTCCTGCAGCAGAGTCCTCAGCCGGGCTCTCTGGTCTCTTTATAAGGCACAGGAAGGCCTGGGTGAGCAAAAGGCAAACAAAAGCACTAGGTATGGCAACATAAAAGTTGTTTTTCTGATAAAAGGAACTGCACTATAGAAACCAAAACATTTGTGGTCATATTACTTAATAATGGCATGTAAGTGCTTTCAAAAGTTCTGGTTTTGTTTAGTTTACATATCACAGTGTTTGACTTTCCAGCCATCTGACTATCATATTTTCTTCACTAAGTTAAGGAAAATTCCTATTTTCCAGTAGTGGACAGACAATTCTGCAAACTGGAGGAGGAGAGACAAAAACATGAGTATGAGGAAGGGAGGTGGGTTCTCAAAGAGTAAGAAGATTCCCTCCTCCCAACTCCCACTGTCCTCTTTATGTTCTTTTTTCTTTTTCTTTTTTTTAAATGACTGACCTATTAAAAATATATATATAATTAATATATATTTATATATTTATATATAATTAATATATAAAATCAATCATATATATATGATTGATTTTTACAGAGAGAAAGGGAGAGGGAGAGAGAGAGTTGGAAACATTGACGAGAGAGAAACATCGATCAACCGCCTCCTGCACACCTCCTACTGGGGATGTGCCTGTAACCAAGGTACATGCCCTTGACTGGAATCGAACCTGGGACTCTTGAATCCACAGGCCAACACTCTATCCACTGAGCCAAACCAGTCAGGGCTCTTTTTTTTTTTTTTTGGAAGGAAGGAGAAGAGAAAGAGAGAAACATCAATGTGAGAGAGACATATCAATTGATTGCCTCCTGCATTCGCCCTGACTGGTACTGGGGATGGAGCCTTTGTCTGAAGTAGGGCCCTTGACCAGATTGAATCCAAGACCCTTGATGAATGAAGGGTAGGGCTCTTTTTTTTTTTACTGGTAAACAATACCAAAATTTTATTTATTTATTTATTTATTTATTTATTTATTTATTTATTTATTTATTTTGAAAATCCTCAATCATTTTTTTAATCAATCTTTATTGTTCATATTATTACAAAGGTTCCTCATTTCTTCCCCCCTCCACCAGGTTCCCACCCCACCCTCTGCCCCCTTTCCCTCCCCCATTGTCCTCATCCATAGGTGCACAGTTTATGTTCAGTCTCTTCCTCCCTCCCTTTCCCCGATAGTAAATCCCTTTTCAGATAGTAAATCAGTTATCAATACTTAGCATTTTCTCATATCAATAATACCTCCACATGCCCAAAGATACTCTTCACACAAAAGACATTTCCCACTAGGTCAACCAGCCTCATCCAGGCCCCACCCAAGGCACTCACAGATCAACACCCCAGTCCTAAACTAACTCAACATATCCAGATCTAAGCCTTCATCACTTGATTCAGCAGACCCTCAAGTTTCCCCAAAAGTTTCCAGCCATCTCTGAGAGGCAGCCTTGGGGCGGGGGTAGGTGAGGAGCGAGCTGTTCCGGGCCTGGCCTCTGTTGCTCTGGTCCGTTCCACAACCAGCTGCTCCGGGTCTGGCCACTGCCGCTCCCGACCTGATTGCTCCGGGCTTGGCTGCTGCTGCTCTGGGCCTGGCCACATAGGGCTCTTTTTTTTTTTTTTTCTTCCATAGTATCTGTTACCACCCCCTTATAAATCTACTTCTCAGTTTATTGCCTGTCCTTCTGCTACAAATGTGAGCTCTGCAAGGAAAAGCCTTTGTTTTGTTTATTGCTGTCTCTCCAGCACATAGAACAATGCTAGGCACGTACTATGTGCTCAGTAAATACCTGTTAAAAATAAAAAGGCAGAGAAGCCCCTAACTTGTTTGCTTCTGCGTTAAACCACCTGCCTGCACTGTTTCTGCCAGCTGAGCCAGCCCTTAAGGAGTTCTAGTCCTGTTTCAATCAAATAGGACTGACACTTTCCCATGCACAGTTCTGACCAATCAAAATGGCTCTAGGGTTTCATTTTTCACTGATTACCTTTCCCCAGGAGGGAGCCGAGCAGACTGCCTAGCTGAAAGCGGGCCTGACCTCAGGGCCTCCTGGCTCCCAAGCAGCCTCACCACCTTTTTTCACAGTAGTGCTTTTTTTTTTTTTTTTTTTTTTTTTTTTTTTTTTTTTTTTAACAGCCATAATGTATTGCCATGGAGCTCTATGAAGTTTCCTTCTTTACTGCACCCCAAATTGAGGTTTTGAATTGGCACCAACTAACTTTGACAGTAGCCATAGGTATCAAAAGTTCCTCATCCCCCACCCTTTTATACTTTCTTTTCCCAAATCACATGTCCAGGATTTTAGCAAATCCTGCTTCACTGACACCAACTATAATGAAAAAAAACTGAAATACAGAGTATGTGACATCTGAGACATAAAGGGTCAAAAGGGCAAAGGACAGGTGAAAGCCATCTAGGGTGGAAGTCAACTTGCCTTCTTTGAGAATGAAAGTGTGATTAGAGAAAGAGGAAGAGGAACATGAAATTAAAGAAAAGAGAAGTAGGCAGGTGTAGGATCTAGCCCAGTGATCGGTTATGGAAAGAGTTTGGATTTAAAAAAAAAAATTATTTTAGAGAGGAAGTAAGAGGGAGAGAGAGAAACATCTATGATGAGAGAGAATCATCGATTGGCTGCCTCCTGCATGCCCCTCACGGGGATCAAGCCTGCAACCCAGGTATGTGCCCTGACCAGGAATTGAACCATTCTGGTCAAGGCCCAAACACTGAGAGCAACCCAGGCTGGCCAGGATTTTATAAGGAATAGGAAGTAAAAACCAAACTGGATTTGGTTTTTAAAGGATGATTTTAACTACTGGCTTGGGTGGGGTGTGGGTGGGCATGGTGGGGTGACTTTAGAGGTGAAGAGTGGAGGGAACAGACCACAGAGGAGCTAAGATTATAATAGAGAGCTGATTGAGTAAATGATACAAAGTGGAATGACAGACACCAGATACAGGACCAGCAGAACTTGCTGTTGAATTATATAGATGGAGAGGTGAGGAGTGCCTAGAACACAAGTCAAACTCATGGCCCACAGGCAGCATGTAGCCCATAAGTATTTTTTCGGCCTAGCCAATATAACGGTATGTAAGAAACGTTTTAATAAAAATTTTGTAACTTAATTTTCACACTATCCTGTTATACATAATTATTAATAACGAATTACAACGTTCACTAATGACTGATTACTAGAATCATGTTGCATTCATTTCCCTTCCATGCCTTCCTTACAGGCGCACCATTTCTCTCCACTAATACTAGCAGCGAATATTTTAGCAGCCGATTGTCACCTCATTAGTCTTGTACTGCCTTGTTTGGTGTGTGCAACAGGAAATATTTTGCTTTCTGAGAACAGGAAAAGTAGGGTTTTTTGCATTACGCTTACTAATTTGTGCAGTTATTCAGTGTCTGGTGAGTTAATGTTCAAGAAAAAATATTGTCATTAAAATGTTCTATTATTTTGTTAACGATGACTCATTTACTTCAGCCTTTTGTATTCAGCATGTCTCTATCAAAATAAACCTGTGTTTTGATGAAACTTGAAGCTTTCGTTTTTTTGCGGCCCACATAAACTTAAACCTTGTTTATTTGGCCCTTGATAGCCTTTGAGTTTGACATACTTGCTTTACTGAGATGGAAATCAAAGGACCAGCTGGTTGGAGAGAGAGCCAGACATGAATCGAAAGCTTTAGGTTTGATAAGACTTTGAGGCAGTAGGCAATTGAATAATCAGGAGTGAAGTTCAGTAAAGGATTAACCCGAGAAAGCCAGTAAATAAAGATACTTAATTTATGGGATTGATGAGCTCATCGAGAAAGAGGTAAATTCACTGAACAAGGAAGAGGCCCAAGGGCCTAGCAGGAAGTCTTCTTTCTAGTCTCCATCTTAAAGAATGAAGACTAAAAATGAATAGTGGAGTATAATGAGGTCATAATGATGTATGTTGGATTGGATTCAATGACTGTTCTAAATCTGAGCCTATGGACCCCTAGATCAAGTTGAAATCAGCTAGTGGCCATACACCTCCGCCCATAACTAGCTGACTCACTCAGGCAGCAGAGGAGGGGCGAGCCCCACTCTGGCCCCGCCCCGGCGGACAGGCCCCGCCCCCTTCCAATCCTGCCAGGTCATCCAATCGCTTGTCGAGATCATCGCTTTTCCCAGGCGCTCGTGTCGATCTGGATTCCAATTGGAGGCGGGGCCAAACCATGGCGGAGAAGGCTCAGAAGAGGTGGGTCTGCTGTTTGGGAAATGCCTGCTCTCGGCTCTCTGCAGAGATGGAGCCTGTTCTGGTCGCCCACGGCGGGGACTGGGATGGCGTGTTACCCCTGGCACTCGGCCTGAATGCTCCCTGAAGCCCAGGCCTTGCTTCCGAGGCGGGAGGAGGCGACCGAATGGGGATTGGAAGGCCTGGGAAGAGATGCGGAAGCGGGGCCGGGAAGGGCCTGCTCGTCCATCGGGGGCCCACCGCGCCGGCTCTCCGTCTCCCCCCCCCCCCGCCTTCCCCACGCGCCTGCGCAAAGGGGTCGGGGCGGAAGAAGGGGGCGGGGTGAGGGAGGCGGGGTCCGTGAGGGCAGAGGGGTCGCCTCTTCCCTTCCGCTGCGCTCGGGGCGGCGGGTCACCGGCGGCTCCGAGCTTCCTTGTCGGGTGTGTGTTCCCAGACACCCACGTCAGGGCTGGCCGCACCCCGTCCCTGCCCGCCTGCCGCGGCGGGGTGTGGGTGCGAACTGGTGCACGGTCACTGTGCAAAAGGGGTCGCGCGGGGACGGGAACGGAGACACTGCCCCGCGGGGACCGGCTGCTTTGTGACGGCGGGGCGGTCTCCTTGCTGGGAGCTGGTCGTGGCGGAAAGGAAGGGCTTGGGGGAGACAGGTGCTTAGAGGTGACCAGACGTCCCGCTTTTCGGGACAGTCCCGATTTTTAACAATTTGTCCCGCGACCCTGGGCGTTTTAAAAAATTGTTGAAAATCGGGACGTCCGGTCACCTTAGCTTAGGTTAAACTGTGTCCAAAAGCAGCAGTGATCCGCACCCACTGCTGACTCTCTCTGAAAAAGAAAGATGACAAAATTTGTTTCTGGTGCCATACATTTATTTAATTTTTAAAAAATATATTTTAGTGATTTTTTTTTTTTTTTTTTTTTTTTACATAGAGGAAGGGTAGAGGAAGGATAGAGAGAAGCATCGACCATTTGCCTCCTGCACACTCCCCACCGGTGATGTGCCCGCAACCAAGGTACATGCCCTTGACCGGAATCGAACCCCGGACCCTTGAGTCCACAGGCCCATGTTCTTTCCACTGAGCCAAACCGGTTTCGGCTGGTGCCATACTTTTAAATGTAGGTTGTTTTACTTAAGCAGGTAACTAATTTATTTCCTAACCTACAGGGGAACAGATCTATGACTATTATGTGCAGTATACAGTAGTGTATATGGTGGAGATGAAGGTATTTCTTGTTGATTTGTTTTTTTAAAATAATATGTTTTAATGAATTTTTTACAGAGAGGAAGGGAAAAGGATAGGGATGAGAAAAAAAAATACCTATCAGCTGCCTCCTGCACGCCCCCTACTGGGGATGTGCCTGTAACCAAGGTACATGCCCTTGACTGGAATGGAACCTGGGACCCTTCAGTCCACAGCCAAACGGGTCAGGGCTGGCTGACTTATTTTAATAGAACTTGGCTGCCTGCTGCTTCTCTGCCCCACCAGTCAGAGGCAGTGTGTCTACCCGGAGATGTTTGGACCATATATTTTTTTAGTTGATATAAAGGCGAATTTAATTACTTCCTGCAGCACAGAGAAGTGTGCTGATTGTGACACAAACTCTACCTGGGGCATTAAAACTGAAGACAGAGGGAGACTTGTGAATTGCTCCTGTCTTCACTTTTCAGGAGAAATCAAAGTTAGATAATGCTCTTGTCATAAAAAATTAGAGGGAGGCTGAGGGAATGGAAAGTGGGAAGGGAAATAAGGTCTAAAACAAGAGGCATTTATATATAATATAAAGCTTAATAAATACATAGTTTAGCACACAAACCCACTCTAAACGAAAGGCATTAGAGAATTGCCATCTACAAATGGTGATACATTCAAGGATCACATCTCTCAAAGGAAAAATATCCTAAGTGACAGATATAGAAATCACAGAAAATAGAGAACCTTTCTTTTTTCTTTCTTAAAGAAAGGTTCTCTATTTTCTGTGATTTCGGCAGAGTCAGGTGGCACATAGTAACCCAGATAGATCATTTTCAAATTTCATGAACTTGAGCCTTGTACAAAGCTAGTGAATGTCAAAATGATGGAAATACCTGTGGCTGTGTCTAGTCTCACAAACATTTCTTGAAGTTAGACCCAGGGTTATTCATTTTTGGTTTGATATATAGATTTTTTGCTTAGAGCTTTAAAAATATTTTGTGGTAGGAAGTTTTGTTCACTGAAATTTGTGGAAGAAGAATTTGTGCATGTCTTTCTTAACTTTATCAACAGTAGGGAAGTTGATATGATTTAAGATATTTTTGGTATTACTTTGCACTTACATTGCAATATTTGGGGGGATTCTGAAATATGAATGATGGAGAGACATGTTAAAGAGTTTGTGCCCTGCATGTTTATATATTAATATTAGTAGAACTTATAAAACAATATTGATATGAGTGAGTCATTGCAATCTAGATTTCTGGTCCTTGCTGGTGGTAAAATAATTGCTGAAATGAGAAAATAACTTTTTGAAGAATTTATAAATCAAGGCAGTAACATTTTGGTCAACAAAGCTTCAGTGGTTTCACATACCAGATTTTAATAATTTTTTATTTTAAATATATTTTATTGATTTTTTTTACAGAGAGGAAGGGAAAGAGATAGAGAGTTAGAAATATCGATGAGAGAGAAACATTAATCAGCTGCCTCCTGCACACCCCCCACTGGGGATGTGCCCGCAACCAAGGTACATGCCCTTGACGGGAATCAAAGCCTGGACTATTCAGTCCGCAGGCCAACGCTCTATCCACTGATTTCTAGAGAGAGGGGAGGGAGGGAGGGAAGATGAGAGAGGGTTTCGGCTTTAATAATTTTTAAAATGCAAAATTCATGTCTTAGAAGGTAAATTGATAGCTTTTGTTGGTCTTACGAAGCTAGAACAAGGCAAGGTTGTCTGGTCTCCTAACTCCTACTTAATACTGTACTGGAAGTCCTAGCCAGAACAGTAAGGCAAGAAAAAGAAATAATATGCATACAAATTGGAAAAAGAACTAAAACTATCCCTATTCTCCGAACACAAAAGTTTTTACATGGAAAAATCCAGAGAACCTACCAAAACAGCTACTCGAACTGAGTGGGTTTCAGTGGGTTTAAGCAAGGTCACAGGACACAAGGTCAATATACAAAATTACTGTATTTTTATAATGTACTAGCAGTGGACAACTAGAAATCAAAATTTTGAAAAATCCAAATAGAATTCTAAAGTCAAAATATCTAAAATGGTATTATTTCATAGAAGCTGAGAGTAGATTTAATGCCATGAATAATGCATTGCCCCTAAGAAAAATTCTTTGCATAATGTGAAAAAGTTACTTACTGTCAATTTAATGGGAAAATCATTTGGTACAGTTTATATCAGCACAAGACTCCGCTAAGGCAGCATTTAGCTGGATTCAGCTGTGTCAAACAAAAGATCAGGGCAGAATGTCAATATTTGTTTTGAACAGTTTGAACTATAAGTTATATCATTCGATAAGCAGTTTTCTATACAGTTAGAAAATAAATAGGAACATGTATGCATTACACTGATTTTTATATTAATATTACCTTGCTGGTTAAATAATTTGAATATACACTCTTTTCCCCCTTTTTTAACAAAAGTAGTGGCATAGTATATAAACTGTCCATTTTCTGGCTTTGCTTTTCTTTTTAATTTTATTTTATCATTATTATTATTTTAATCCTTAAGGATATTTTTTCCACTGATTTCTAGAGAGAGGAGAGGAAGGGAGGGACGATAAGGGTGAGAGAGGGTGAAGGAGGGAGGGAGAGAGAGAGAAAAAAAAACAAACATTGGCATGAGAGAGACACATTGATTGGTTGCCTCCCGTACACACCCCTACCGGTATGTGCTCTTGACTGAGAATTGAACCCAAGACCATTTGGTCTGCTGGCTGATGCTCTAACCACTGAGCTTCCAGCCAGGGCTGGCTTTCTTTTTCTTTCTTTCTTTTTTTTTCTTTTTCTTTTAGTCTGGAGATCATTTTAAATCTTTACATAAAGAATTATTCCTTTTTTATGATTGTGTTTTAGTCCATAGTATACTATAATTTATTAACCAGTCCCCTACTAATGGCTATCTCTGTTTTCAGCTTTTTGGTGCTGGTGTTAAAAGGATTCAAGCCTCTTTTTCTCTCAAGCATTGTAATTAATAATAAGGGCTCATAGATGATTTTAGCCTAATGTATAGTATGCCAGCTGAAAAGTTTATAATATATTAAACCTTACCCTCTTACAATTTACTTTGCCTTTACTAGTATCCATCAATTTTTTTTCTTAGCCTTTTTTCATCACAGGGTAGAATGGCTTCTATAACAATATTTATAAACCTCGCCCATGCTAAATGTTACCTGTTTTCTTCCTTCAGTGTGAAGATTGCTCCTGGAGCAGTTGTGTGTGTAGAAAGTGAAATCAGGGGAGATGTAACTATAGGTAAGAAAATAGTTTACTCTTGTCGTTTCTCAAGAAGTGATGTGACTTAATTTCAGTGTTTTACAGTAATTAGGTATTTTGTCTTGCTTCACTGATGTCCTGCTTTTGCCAAAACAATCTATTTTCTCCCATAAGTGTTTTAGGTTTCTAAAAGAATGTAATGAGATGTAGACTCTATTTAAACTTCTATCTGATAAACTAGTGAAGCAATTTAAATTATTCACTTTACATCTATTTTGTGCTAGCCCAGGGATATAGCAATGAATATAGCAGAAAAACATACTGCCAGTTTTGGAGCTTGCATTCTTCAGGGTGATTATTAACAGTGTGAGCCATGAAGTGTGACAGACTGCGGTGAGCATCCTTGCACTTCACTTGTTGGGTTAACATGGACATATTTCTTAACCTCAGCAGCCTTCATTTTCCCCATGTGTGTCTCAGAATGGGTTTAGCTGCATGTAGAGGTGGCTTAAACATGCAAAGGTTTGCCTTCACCGGGTGGCTCAGTTAGTTGAAGTGTTGTCTCATATACCAAAAGCGTGCGGGTTCAACTCCCGGTTTGGGCATATACCTAGGTTTCTCCAGGCGCGTATGGGAGGCAACCAATTGATGTTTCTCACATTTATTTATTTTTTCTCTCTCTCTCTCCTTTACTCTCTCTCTAAAAATTAATAAAGACATATCCTCCGGTGAGGATTAAAACAAAAACATCTAGAAGTAGGTAGGTTAATTCAGGGCTGGTCAATTGATTGTCCAGGAATCCCAACCTTGCAGGCCAGAAGGTGATGACTTAAAGTATCAAGTGTGATGTTAAGAAAGGGGAGGAATGGAGTCAAAAGAGTGTACCTCTCAGTTGAGTCAGCTCCCTTTAAAATGTCATTCTGAAAGTTCCAAGTGATCGAATGCCTTAGACTTAGTCTTATGGACACATGTAGCAGCTGTAGGGAAGGCTGGGGATGTAGTATTAACTCATCTTTTTGCTTCCCTTAATAAAAATAGGATTCTGTTACAAGGAAAAGGGAAGAATGGATATCCAGAGGCAATTAGCAGTTACTGTCACATGCAAAATAAGAGTTTTTACCTTCTAGACTTTTGAAGGATTAAATAAGAGAATATTTGGGGAAGTCATTGCCTGCAGCCTAATACATAGTAAGCACTCAATAAAAGTTAGCTAACATAGCAAACTGATAAATCTTGTCAGGGTAGCCTTGCTAAAGATCAATTCCAACAATTAAAACAAACGAACAATTCAACCTGTGGTAACTTATATGCCCATAACTAAGTTCCCCCAGGTTCTTTTACATGTTTTTACTGGATATGGTCCCCAGAGTAGAGGTAACGTGAATTAAGTACATTTTCAGAGAGAAAATATGCCTTGTTCCCTTAAAGTAACAGTATCTTTCTTTAATAGGAAAAAAATCTTATAAATTTTAGTAAGTCTAATCTTTCAACCAATTTAGGCATCATGTCATATAAAACTAGTAAAGATTGTGCCAGTTGTTAAGGAACATCTTAGGAATTTGTCAGGTTGGATTTATCTTAAATTGATCAAATTTCGAGGTTTAGAAGGTGACCCTATTTTCAGTGCTATGTTAATTCTTTGTTAACTCTTCAACCACCTGCAAACTCTGTATGAGGAGAAATTAGGCATTATTTCTATTCTGGTCTTTTTATGGTTTTCATCATGATTTGAGGAATGACATCTAATATTAGCTCACAAGATATTCTATAATTAGAAGGAAAATAATACTAAAATAATGTAGTTATTTGTATAAACTCTTCCTTTCCTTCTACTTGTCCATTTTAAAGAATAAGTTTACATTATCCTCTATTGTCTGATATCTCTACCGGCATACATGCACAGACAGTATACCTATATATGTTTGTTTATGTATTTCAGAGTTGAAATAACTCCTGTTTTTTGAAGAAGCTTCTCTAGAATAGCAGTAAAGGCTTTAGAAAAGAAAAGGTCGACCACTGGACCACTGCATAGGATTGGGGCATGAGGGTCTCAGCAGTCAGCATTCCCTCTTCTGTTTCTCCCTCTCTCTTCTACTACTTTGTGCTCCTCTCCTTTCTTTATCCCAATTATCCTCCTACTTCCCCTAAGTTTTGAAATTATGTAAGTCAATATAGTACTAACTAAATATTTCCATATAATATTTGACCACGAGCTGATAGGAAATCGGATGGTTAGAATATAAAATGACAGTTCAACACAGATTTTCAGTGATGGATTGTAACATAAGAAGTAATAATTTTTTTTTAATGGATCTAAGTTAATATTTGTTATGTTTACTTTGACCTTTTTTTAGAACAAGAAAATTTGCTCAAATACTTTATAGAAATATATCTATTTTAAAAATTAAGGAAAAGATTCAGAAGTAATATAGTTACCCATTGTCTTATCTTCTACAATTCTGGTCTCATTTTCATTATATGCGTTTCTTATCTTTAATTGTACATATATAAATATGGAAATTTCCCAGAATTGATATTTAGATAGCCGTTTCTATCATTGTTATATTTGGTATAAAATATCTTTATCCTTTGGCTACTATTTTTTTAAAAATTTAAAAAATTGATTTTAGAGAGAAAGTAAATGTGAGAGGGAAAGAAAGAGAGAGAGAAGCATTGATTTGTTGTACTACTTATTTACACATTCATTGGTTGCTTCTTTTTTTAAAAAATTTGTTTTTAACCCTTACCCAAGGATATTTGTTTTTAATGATTTTTAGAGGGAGAGGAAGGAAGGAAGAGAAAGAGAGGAACATCGATTGATTGTTTCCCATATGTGCCCGATCTGGGTTCAAACCCACACCCTAGGTATGTGCCTTGACCTGGAATCAAACCCCAACCTTCTGGTGTACAGGACGCTCCAACCAACCGAGCCTCCTGGTCAGGGCCATTGGTTGCTTCTTATATGTGCCCTGACCAGAGATCACACTCACAACTCTGACGTATCAGGATAATGCTCTAAACAAGGTAGCTGGCCAGAACATCCTTTGGCTACTATTAGTTCATCTTTTTTAAATAATACATCAAATTAGGAAACTCCTGGGCAATTTATATATATTAAAGCCTAAGTGACCGTTCGACTGGTAGCTATGATGCACAGTGACCACCAGGGGCCAGACACTCAATGCAGGAGCTGCCAAGCTGCGGTGACTTGGCAGCTGCAGTTCTCTGGTGATGCACTTGGAACCAGAAAGGAGGGAGCTGGATTCTGGGGTGCATCACCCAAGTACTGCCTTCTTGCAATCCGGGACTCCTCAGGGGATATCCGAGAGCTGGTTTCCACCTGATCCCTGCAGGCCAGGCCGAGGGACCCCACCAGAGCATGAATCTGTGCACTGGGTCTCTACTATAATTATAGAGTTAAATCACAGAGATAAATTATCCAATTAAAACTCGCTTTCCCTGCCATGTTTTATTTTTCACTTTATGGCTTTTATTGTTTTTGTTTTATATTAATTTGCCAGAAGAATTAGTTTGTCTTTTTTCTGTTGTGCTGTGGATATAGAGATTTGAGCATTTAATACAGCTGCTTTCTGGATTAAGCGGCAATATTATAAATTCAAGTGTAGTTTAACGTATAGATTTTTCAGGATGTTATATATAACTTTTTATCCCCGCATTGGTTATACTCTTACTATATTATACTCTTACTATATTATATCATTCTGAAATATTTGCGGGGGGGAGGAATAGTTTTCCTTTGCTGTGTGTTTCAGTGTAATAGAACCCAATCTTGTGTTTCCCTAGAAAATCAGGTGTCTGGTTAAACAAAGAAACTAGTCCGAAGCTTTGAAGTATTTTCCTTAACCAGAAGCCCCACGACTCGAGGTGGCTCTGGATCTGCTTCATTAGAGGCTGCTGAGAACAGACCGTGGGGAGAATAACAGCTCTCTTGTTAATTGTAATGTGGGTAAACGCGGTTTCATAACACCACGCCTGCTTTTAATTAGGCTGCCTTGATTTATGGGCCATGCATTACTTCCTGTAGATTTTATTTTGAATGCTGAAGGTATTTCAGAAAAGTACCAGTAAACACAGTCCTGTAGTCCCATAATAGGGTGAGAGGCCACCGTCTCCTGGGTCGGGACCGGGCTTGGCTGAGACATATAGCGTGAAGGCAGAACTTGGCACCGTGTAAAAGCTCTGTGGTGGAAACACTTTGTCCCACTTTATTCTGTCTTTCTCTTTATTATAGTTTTTAATTTAGATCAAAAGCTTCCCTTTTATTGTGGAAATCTTTTTCCATCAGGCAGAACAGTGGCTTTGACTTGAGAAATTCGTGGACTACAAAGCAGTTCCTACAGGTACTTCAACGTGCAGGTCAAAGGAATCGTTTTAATTTTCAAAAGAAAGCTTGTGGCTTTTTCAGCTACTTATTGACATATGAAAACGAACTCAAAGATTGCTTTCTGTGGCAAGGATGGAGAGGGAAAATGTCCTTAACCATATGAGGAGAATGGAAATTTGATGCAAGGAATGTCTCTCTGGCTATGTTGCATCAAGCCCAGCCAACCATTTAGAAAAATATTTCATCAGCCAGTAGGGCAACTCCAACTCTAGACACATTTATCCAAACAAGGAGATAAGCCAAATAGGGCTTCACCACATGTGGTAAGAAAATATACAAACTCCTCTCCCAGAAAGAGTCCAAGAAGGTTCACAACATCTTTAAAAAAAAACAACAACAAAAGAACTTTCCATGGTTTAAAGCATTTTAACCTCAAGACCCTTAAACTTGGTTTGAATTCAGACCCATTCTAGGTAAAAGTGCTTGCATTCAGAAAAGCATGGAGCAAACGGCGTCCACAGTTGAGCATGCCGTCACTGCCCGGGTGCCTGCCTCCAGCACAAAACCACGCGGAGACAGAGCTGCATTGGACGCATCCCTCACCTGAGCCAGCTTCCTTTAAGAAGTTCACCACTCCAACATGTCGTCACTGGTCCGACTGTACTGCAGTGACTGATACCATAATTACTACCCA